GGAATCAGTACAGTCCACAGACAGGAGATTATCAACCAAGGGCCAGAACCGAAACCCAACGCCTGTAAAGGACAAGAGGCCGAGACGTATCAGTCGGCAAAACTCGCGATCAAGTCCAGACCCACGCCCGTGTGCAAGGACGACAGGAGACCGTTGAGGAAGAACAACAGATTCAGGACCAGCTAGCAAAAACGATTGAGAAAGCCCAAAACCAACCAATCCGAAGCCAGCCTGTAGAGACAACTGAATCCGCACCGCAGCCAGCCTATCAGCGCGTCCAAAGTCAGCAACCTCCCCTCACCTACAACAACTTCGACCGATTCCGCGAGTATACACCAGCATACCCGCAACGTCCGAAGGGACTGAGCGTTCCCCCAATTGTGCCCTCTGGTGAAACAGACCCGTACAAGGCAGTTCCACCAATCGAGTTTGGCAATGAGAAACTGGATCCTAAGACGATCAATGTCTTCGTGAAAATGTGGGACCGAGACAAAAAGTATACGGGAAAGCCGTACGACCTCCTAGACGATAAATTGAAGATCTTCTACAGCATCTGTTATCACGCAGACATCGAGCCAGGGCAGTTCCATGCAGTCTTTCCACGGATTCTCGACGGCCGCGCAGAGGAGTATTACCTCCACTTCGTCGATCAGCGGATGGATACGTTCTTGACTGCCTACACAAAGCTCAAGAACCACTTCGACACAGACGTCAACCACGGCCATTACTACGCGGACTGGACGACGACATCGTTTGTCAAAGTCCGCAGGGAGAACCCCGAAAAGAACCTCCACGAGGTCCTTGACATCATGCTGGACAAGCTCCAATTGTGTCAAAGAGCACTTGGACAGCAGTACATGGGAGAATACGCGCTCCGAACGACTGTAATCACAGCATGCCGAGGCGTGAAGGAGCTCGAGATGGCACTCTACAAGCCGTCTCTAGAATGCGAGGTTCTGTTTGGAGATCTGCGATCGTCAATCGAAAACTCACTCGCCATGACCGTCTCCGTCAACTTCACTGAGGCGGATACGGATAGCCAGTACTACTTGGATCGTCGGTACAACAACAACAGCTCTGGAAGATTGCGAGGGAATTACAACCCTCGCGGTGGACGCAGCGGATTCACCCGCGGACGCGGTGGGCTTCAGCACCGCTCTGGAGTCAACACACAAATCGACAAGAAATGTTACGTCTGCGGCAAGACAGGCTGTTGGTCCACAAACCACACGCTTGAAGAAAGAAAACGCTCAAAAGCGCAGTACATCACACACTGCGCGATTACGGGAGAGCAAATGGAGTTTAGCACATTTCTCGTCGCGTACGAGGGGGAAGAAGTCGACCAGTTCTTCCTAGAGGAGCAAGACGAAGATGATGAGGACCAAAGATTGGCAGTTAAGTACCTCACAGATCAGGCCTTTTTGCACCACGTGACTGGAGAAGACGTCTACAGGTGCAAGGAGCCTATTACGCCCGCAACGCAGTTCCTTATCGAGGATCGATACTCGCGAATCACGTACCAAGGCATTCTTCCTGACACTGGTGCCTCAAATGTATCGACAGCCGGAAAGGAGCAGTTCTGGGCGCTCCAAACTGAGGACCCCACCGTAACTCTAGATACGTCTACTGCTGGAAACGCATCTGTGCAATTTGGCAAAGGAAGCGTCACTACTTCGATTGGAACCGCACATGTATCGACACAGATTGGAAAGATCAAATTTGAGGTCTTGAACGCACCCACCCCGTTTCTCCTCTGTCTGAAAGACATGGACCGGCTCCACGTGTACTTCAACAATACTACGGACCAGCTGGTACAAGGAAAAGCTACCTTTCCAGTGATTCGCAAATGGGGACACCCGTGGTTCCACCTAAGCAAGGCAGAGCGCGCGCGCGTATTCCTTACGGAGACTGAGCTCCGACGCTTACACCGGAGGTTCGGGCATCCAGCCGTCGAACGGCTGATACGATTGCTCAAACGCGCAGGACACGAGGACGTGGATGAACGGCTGCTCCGAGAGATCCAAACGTTCTGCCATCACTGCCAAGCGCATGATCCAGCGCCGCGCCGATTCAAGTTTAGGCTGAAAGATGATCGGGAATTCAACTTCGAGATCCTCGTAGATGTGATGTATCTGAGTGGGAAACCAGTGCTTCACGTGATCGATTCGGCTACAACATTCAACGGCGCGCGATTTCTACCGTCTATGAGCGCGAAAGACACCTGGGAAGCACTCCGCCTGCTCTGGATTGATACATACCAAGGGCCGCCAGATATCGTCACCCACGACGCCGGCACCAACTTCGCGTCAGTCGAATTCAGATCAGAGGCGAAGATCATGGGAATCACATGTAAACAAGTGCCAACCGAGGCCCATTGGTCTATCGGCAAGGTAGAAAGATACCACGCACCGCTCAGACGCGCGTACGAGATCCTGAGGACAGAGCTTGACACTGGCACCAGCGACGCTGCAGTGTTGCAGATGGCAGTCAAGGCCGTCAACGACACCGCAGGCCCAGACGGGCTCGTACCCACGCTGCTCGTCTTCGGTGCATACCCCCGGATATCCATGGATTCACCACCATCTCCCTCGATAACCCATCGCGCGGAGGCAATCCAGAAAGCGATGAGGGCGCTGCGGAAGGCCTCAGCGGAACATGCGGTGAGCAACGCACTTGGTACCAGGAATGGGCCTACTACAGACGGGGTACTGTCACTGCCTCTTCAGAGTGAGGTGATGGTATGGCGCGAGAAGAATGGATGGCAAGGGCCGTATAGAGTCATCGATATGAAGGACCACGATGTTACTGTAGACATGATCAACGGCCCAACGACGTTCCGATCCACTGTCGTAAAACCGTACTATCGCGATCTGACTACAGCGATAGACGGCGCAGATCAAGGCACAGGTGGATCTCCGACCACAGACGAAGCGATTGCTGATGAACCGCCACTACCGGTACCACCGGCGGAAGCCAACCAAGCGGCTCAGCCGCGCAAGCGGGGCCGCCCACCTGGATCAAAGAACAAGCCCAAGGTGCAGTACCTGTCGAAGAAGGAGGAGGACGATTACGCCCTGGCCGTCAAGCTACGCAATGACGGCGTGATTAACGTCCCGGGCGCTCCATTCGAAGCATCCGATCAGAAGGAGATCGACGACCTCGTCGGCCGTGGAGTATTCAGTTTTGAGCTGTTTGATCCAACTCTACACGGCGGGTATCGTATCTTCAAATCGCGCATGGTCCGCGAAGTCAAAGGCAAGACCATGGTCCCGTACGAGAAATCACGCCTCGTTGTTCAAGGTTACAATGACGAGGGCAAACACGAGATCCTGACGCAGTCGCCAACCATCCAACGAGCCAGCCAGCGCCTGATTCTAGCCCTAGCGCCTGCATTACTCGATGAGGGCATGGTTGTGGAACTACGAGATATCACGCAAGCGTACCCACAGGCACAAACAGAGCTATTCCGCACGGTTTTAGCGCACCTCCCAAAGGAGCTTATAACAAAGTATCCCAAGGGAACAATTATTCGCGTAATCAAGCCACTCTATGGAATCGCGGAAGCAGGAGTCCACTGGTTTGCTACGTACCAAGGACACCACTGCAAGGAGCTCGACATGGCTACATCAACGTATGACCCGTGCCTCCTGATCACGAACGGGAGACGGGAAGCGTTTGGAATAGTGGGCCTGCAGACAGACGATACTCTCGCGATTGGGACGCCTGCATTCTCTGGTGCAGAAGACGCTGCGCTCCAGAAAGCCAATTTTCGAGCTAAGCCCAAGGAGAGACTGTCCAAAGAAGTATCACTCGAGTTCAACGGATGTACTCTAACGTTGCGCGGAGACACGATTCTACTTACGCAGAAGGGACAAGGTGCCAAGATCGAAATCATTGATCCGAAGGCAGCAAACCGAGCACAGAAGTACATGGAGCAGCGCGCGCGTGGCGCGTACATTGCGTCGATATGCCAACCTGAAGCATCGTTCGATCTTTCCGCGGCTGCGCAAATACAACAACCTAAGGACACAGAATACGTGAAGCTTAACCGCCGGCTGCAGTGGCAATCTGAGAGCATACAACGAGGCCTGCGATACGTCCCTCTCGACCTCGCTACAGCAAAGCTGGTAGTGTTCACAGACGGATCCTTCGCGAACAACCAAGACCTTAGCTCACAGCTAGGGTACCTACTTATCCTTGCGAATGAGTCGAGTCGACAAGACAGCACGTTTGATATTCGTGGTAACGTAATCCATTGGAGTTCGACCAAATGCAAACGCGTTACCCGGAGCGTTCTTGCCTCAGAAACGTACGGCATGGTTAGCGGTGTCGACATCGCTATCGCTATCCTAACAACCCTCAAGATAATTACAGGACGCCTAGGTCTACCACCGATCCCACTTATTGTGTGTACGGATTCATACTCCTTGTATGAATGCCTCGTCAAACTCGGAACAACTGCTGAGAAGCGACTGATGATCGACATCATGGCGCTTCGGCAGTCATACGAGCGTCGCGAGATCACTGAGATCCGCTGGATCAACGGAGAGGACAACCCCGCGGACGCATTCACGAAAGCAACACCAAATCGCGCGTTAGAACGTTTCATCGAAAGCAACAAGCTGTCAATCCGAGTAGAGGGATCTGTGCAGCGACCTACGGAGTAGGCACATATGCCTATTTGGAATCCCTCTCAGTGTGTTCTTTTTAGAAGACCCGTTTTTCCTTACATCAGTCGTTACAATAAGAAAAGATTGCCAGTGTCGGCATACACACGGTGTGTCGCCTAATAAGGCCCAATGTACCGCCTCGATCCTACTTCGGCCCAACTCGGACCCAACGCTATGTATACCTTCGTAGCCCCCACATTCGTAGAATCATCATACACCAGAATACCAATACACAAGATTATCTTAGCTACTGTTATTCACCGTACGATCGTACAAGGCCTTCCAACAATAACTATCCGGATCTTCCGAATAACCCCACAAAAACGTTTTCTCGGAAACGGAGGTTCAGATCCTAATTGTTGTATCCGGAATATCCGCGCATATTCGTTATATAAGTACTTAGACACAATCTCATCAGACCAAGTAATTCTACACCGTTCATCCACTTTCGGAACTTTTGTTCTGGTTTAAAGACTCTCATCATGGTACTAGGCTTTGCTCCACTATGTCTAGCTGGTCTCATCAACACGTTAGAGATACCTTCCTTTTCACCAGCAGTTTTTCGACAATCTATTCTCCCTAGCAAAGTCGAGATACCTTCGTTCGCTCCAGCAGACTTCCCACCGAGCACAAGACAAAATGATGGAGTGCGTTCCTCCATTTCAAGTCTTGTCGTCCCTTATGATAACCCGGTAATTAGACACTTGCTGGACGATATGACGTCCGTGAGACTATGGCAATACTCCAGAATGTGAACCAACCCGGATACAATAGGTAAATAATAGAATCTTATCTCTATAGCACCTGAAGGTTGATTGACGCTGTAAAGCTGGTTCTACCTGGCCTGGATAACTACTGTTGATGGTGCAAAGTACCACGTCACTACCAATATCGGCATCGTCGGTGCTGGCAAACAAGGATACATGATAGCTGGAATGTTAGGCGCTGAAGACCTATCCGACTTCTCCTCGACTGGGACCACATACGCAGAACCAGGCTCAGGAAGCGCCGAATTCTTGAACCTTGTGGCACCCAACCAAAATCTTTCCAGTCCCCGAGGCTCGGACAACTACACAGACACGTTCCTCTCTCTTAGCTACGGACAGGTTGCCGTCAGCCTCAACGCTAAGCCAACGGGTCCGAACGTGTACATGGGCGGCAGCGGATACATTACACTCGAGCCCCTCGGCCCATCCGACTTCACCATCGTACCGCCTGGATACTCATGGTACTGGGTAAGCGAAAAACACATCGTGTACCAAACGACCAAGAAAAAAACACTAACACACAGCCACTAGGGAAACCCACACATGCAAATATCCGGCAACATCACCGTCAAAGGAAAATCCCTCCAAATCGACCCCGCCCAGTCCTTTGCCTTTCTTGAGCGCCAATGGGGCCAAATGCTACTAACAAACTGGTACGCCTTCTGGCTCTACCTCTCCAACGGCATCTTCATCCACGCCTGGATCAACCAACCCGACATCCACGGCTTCAACCAAGACGATGTGGCCGTCGTCACAATCTGGCACCCAAACGGCGTCCACGAGGTCCTCCAAGCCGACGCCACGTCCCGCGCATGGGGCGTCTCGCGCAATGCCCGAAACGGGAGACTCTACTTCAGCAAGTTCCAGCTCGATCTCGCTTTGAAGAACACGTCGCTTCGGATGACCAAATATGCGCATGATGCTTTGTTTCGCGCGGCCGAGGGTGTGACGATGGATTTGTCAGAGGCGTATACGCAGGGTTTTGGCACGTGGGACGGCGAGGACGTGAGCCTGTTTGGGCATGTGGAACAAGTTTCTACGCTAGAGTAGGTGGTTGGATATTTTAGCGGTTTGGCGGTTTGTCAGCTAAGCGTCAAGTGTTCGTGTTTACACGTACCGTGTCTGTGCACCGAACGCCCGGAGTCACCGAACGCCCGCTCCGGCACTTCAAGCCTACTACAGAAATGAGGCTGTAGAGCTACTGTTGCAGTATATGCAGTCAATCAAAGTGTAACCGCGCGAGGCAGTCATCAGAGTATATTGTGTTCTGTTGTCTGTTGTGCTGTCATGGCCACCTTATATGTAGCCATAATCAGGGTCTATTTACATGACGTATCTCTGATGCTGGTAAGGGAAGAAGGTGCTCATGGAGGAGAGGGAGGAGCGCCAGGACAACGCACGTGACATGCGCAATACCCTTGCCTCACAAACCGCAACATTTTGTAAGTCTTGGAACGTAACAGCGCCCATCTCGCTCCAAAAAAAACACCACGAATACTGATCGCAAACGCTGACTGGCTGATAATCACGATAGTTACAGCCCCCCACTTCGAACTACTAGACGCGATGATCGAGAAATATAATCTTAAGCTAATCGTCTCCATTAATTACAGTAGTTGAACTTCCATATAGACTTAATACCTCACAGAATCTTTTGAGTACAACTTCGGGGTTAGGTGGGTGTATCCGAGTTGCTTCAAGGGGCTTCATGATGGTTAAGGGCTTAAAAGTAGCACTCCAGGTACGCCAAAAGACCGGGGGGAAGTCTCTTTTCACTACTGGGAGAAGCCCCTGGCTTCTATGAAGGTGTGCTGAAAGCTCAGTTGAATAGGCAGTTGAAAGAGACTTGAGCATTCCAACCTCAAGCGGCTGAATCGTATGGGATGCATGAGAAAGACCGCTAACAGGATCTTGTTGCAGTTGCAATAGATAATAAGATCCATGGCCGTCAGGGACTAGTAATCGGTATCCTGTGCGAGCTTTTGTCTGATCTCTCCCCCCAAACCCCCCTTAAGCCAAGCAGTACCTATATCGTTGTTCGTCCAACTAGAGGGAGATGAGCTGATGAATACTGATTTCCTTTCTGGATAGATTGTGTTCGCCCAGCTTGGTTGTCGAGCTCCAGCAGATGACTGAAAGATGAGAGCTGGGCTTAGAGCTGTGCCGTCCGAACAAACGCAAACTAAGATTGTTACTGACTATCTTGAGCCGTCCTGGACAGCTGCAGTAATACCTCTTCGATCAGAGATCACCTTGTAAGACACCAACTTTGACCAGCCAAGTACTCCAATGAAGAACCCTCTTCATCCTTATTAAAGATGTGGGAGGCTCCACATTGTACTACTTTATCTGATCGTGTCACAGCTTAAATTATAAGCTTTACTTCGCTTATAAATTAGCTTTATGACGATCCCGGTTCATCGCTAACTGCCAGCGTGAGATGAGATGGGAGGATTTTCTGTTCGTGAAGCGTGCAACCCAGCTTTTTGAAACCCCTTTACTAACAAAAGAGGGCGCAAAGTCGCGTATCGTTGCTCGTCTAGTCTAGGTGGTGTACATCTCACTGTGAGCGTTTTAATGTCGCCATGATTCATCTTGTCTTGTCTTGCCCCCCACACGAAAAACCGGTACGCTGCTCGACCCCTGATTGGCACAGTCACGTGACCCACATGGGTGCCTAGGATCAGATGCCCTAAGACCCGATGGCGTTTTTCGACTATCTTCCCGCACAATACCGGCCCAAGTACCCAAAATAGATCTTCCTCACTCAGAAGTAAGCATTTTATCCTGTTTTTGCATAGGTCGCTACGGTCTAACATTAGAAGGCTCTTATCTGCTCAGCATGTTTCATCGCCGCCCAGGACAACGCCCTGCACCGTACCCAAGTGCTGTAACACCATATAGATCCTCAGTAACGACCACCAGTTCTAGTGTATTCGGATCTGGCAAGAGGCTACCGCTCAGCAGGAGAGTCTCTGCAGCTAGGCCCACTGCTACACCAATGCCTATCTCCGTCTTTCAGAAATATAAGGATATCACCAAGCTATTGGTAGAGACTATGGTATGGATAGAAGGAGCAGATACAGAAAGACAGAGATCATGACATACTGCAGAAGCAATTCGTAGAGCTGGAGGACACATCTTAACTTCAAAAATAAAGTCAGATTAAGCAGTATCCAGCATTAGATAGAGCAAACGAGAAACGATATCAGATGAACCTTGGCGTCAGCTTTGCCCAGAAGTATCGTATAAGCTGTATCTCGTGTTTTGGGCGGAAGGAAAGGTAGGTGTGCATGCGGGGCTGGCGTTAGTCCTTATGCCTTCGAGCGAGTGTCGTCCGATCAACTCTATACTTTTTTTGCCTTGTCGCGATAGCTAAGAAGATGCAGCATCTTTACGTGATTTGATACCTCGAATTGCGTTTTGAATTGAATCCATCGGGGTGAAGTTATGATGTGTTTTGTGTATATGTGTTGATGTTGTGGGTGACTCATTACTCGAACCAGCTCATTTTGTGCAGACACGGTAAGGCTAACGCTAAAGCGGGTGGTAGCTAGATGGAGTTTTGTTAGTCTTGTACCGGCCTTTTATCATTACAGTGACTCTCACAACTCCAGCGGTAGAGCACACGGGATTCACTTAAACCTATACTAGAAACACCGCCTTGATTTACAATACTGACTGCAATCATGGCTTGGCATAATTTAATAACTCCGTAAAACCGGACCCTACTTATAAAAAGACCCTTGTTCTCTATAGGAGCACACCGGACTATCACAGGAGTCGCGTGCAGGAGTACAACATGACTAGGATACGCACCCCGTACCAGAGTTAATAACCATGGCAAAGGCACCCGCAAACGCCTTGCATATTTGCGTCTTTGGTTCTGCGCAGATGTGATAAGAGAAGTAGTGTGCTCCGTACCACCGTGTGATTTCGTTTACAAAGAAAGCCTTTTTAGCAGTCCTAGTGTTGGCAACGCCGATATCAAGACGCACGCCAACTTCGAGAGACTCAAAGAAGATCATACTGTCTGGTCGCGCGCGTAGCCTCTCAAAGACAAAGAGGGCAAATCGAACGAGATCCAACCGGGTCAATGCGGGCTCTAAGTCTTCTGGAAGGAACTCTCGTACCGCGAGTGCTTGTGTATCACTATTAAAGGAAGTCTTCGCAATGGCAATAACCTGACCAATCCGACCTCGGATGCCTTTTTTGCTTGGTTCAGTGGCAATGAAGACTCGAAACTCACAGCTCTGTAGTGACGGGACGAACTCTTGGTGGAACCAATGTGCCGAATGATCAGCACTATGTGCTGGTGTCCTAGATGACTTTGACGCCACTATCGGTTTCTTTTTCCGACCTCGGCTGTTCTGCGACGTAGTCTCCAGCATTTGCGCCTCTGGCTGACAGGTAAGTTCATGATGGTCTCCACGTTTCCGAACATGGACGTGCATCGCGCAGCCACTCTGTGTCCTCTTGTGGACCGTTGTCTGGTAATCGCGGAGCTTGCATGGACCATGCCCATAGCATGTCCTGGGCCGGTAAGAAAACTCTTGCGGCGACGAAGAAGCGACTTCGTCTAAGGCCCGAATGTCCCCTAGCTTGTTCCTCTCTTGCTCGGCTTCATTCTCGTTTGGGTAGACGCGAAACGATGCTGGGTGGATGTGTTTTAACAGGCGTACCTTGCTGTAGACCTTGTCTAGGGTGGGGTTCGTGGGCTCGTTGGTGGTCCAATGCAGGAATAGTATGCCGTGCAGCGCATTCCCATCTTTATCTGTGCAGGACCTGGACAGTAGGTTCCCTTGGAGTTGGGTTGCCAGCCAGTCCCATGTATGCGCATCGACGGAAATCTGAGCCAGTGCTTTCGTGGCTAGTGCCGTGACTAGGCCTTGGTGTATGAAGCAGTCCTCGTTACCAGACGGTATGACAGTGTTGTGCAATGTCATCGAACAGGCTTCTGCTAGCCAGGGATCGTGACCAAGGCTCTCGCGGTCCTCGGGGAAAAGCTGAATAGCGAGAGTGGCCGTCTCGTCGAGTCGCTTTGTGTCAGGGAAAGAAACCCAAAATAGTTTCTGCCACGATACGTTTGGCGCATGGACAGCGCGCGTGGGCAATGCTGCTTGTGCTTGTGGAGCCGATGGAGCTTGGCGCGTCACGTCGCGAGAATCTTCTAGACTAGTTGTCGATGCGTGCCTGTGGATATTCTCAGCGCGCTTTGCTCTTTGCTTAGTAGCTCGATGGCGACGGTGAAATTCACAATATGTGTGTTGTCCGGGTGCATCTGGACATGAAAGGCTGTAGCCACAGTGTCCTGCTCTGGTGCGCTCTTTTATTCTCTCACGATACTCTTTGTTCGAGTTCTTTTTGCTGATAGTAGGCATGGGGCCGGTGGAAGTCGGGCTTGAAGTGGATCCGAGGCGTTGAGGCAGGGCGTTGAGGCAGGGTGTTGAGGTAGGGTGTTGAAGCGGGGTGTTGAGTAGGTAACGTGCCCGTGCGCAGCGCGCACGGATTCGCAGCGCGCACGCCGAACACCAAAACACTGAAACACCTACAAACTTCAACGCGTCATAACTCAACCAGCATGGCAGCTATTGACAAAGCGTTAGCAGCAATCGAATCGGGAGAGCTTGGAGATAAAATTGTATACCAGCAATATGCTGATAAGTACAACGTATCAAGGAGTGCGTTGAGCCGAAGACACCGAGGCGTTTCACGCTCGAGAGCCGACTATACAGCCGACAAACAATCCCTCGCGCCACATCAAGAGCTAGAGCTTGTACGGTATATCACTAAGCTTACCAAGCAAGGCCTACCCCCTACAAGGGAGATGATTAGGAATTTCTCATCAGAAGTAGCCCATCAGCAGCTCAGCGAGAGCTGGGTTACTCGCTTCATCAACCGACACGAGATCCATCTTATCTCAAAGTGGACCAGCGCCATGGATCGTACGCGCCACCTGGCTGATTCTGAGTCAAAGTATAGACTCTACTTCGAGCTGCTGCATGAAAAGATCGCCCAATACCACCTAGAGGCTCGAGATATATACAATATGGATGAGAAGGGCTTCTTGATTGGCTTAGTAGGCAGAAGCAAGAGGATATTCAGCAGGCGTCAGTGGGAGAAGAAGGAGGTTCGAGCATCTCTCCAGGATGGATCACGCGAGTTTCTGACAGTCCTGGCCTGCTGCTGCGCTGATGGGAGCTCGCTGCCTCCAGCCCTTATCTACGCAGCTAAGAAAGGAGCTATACGATCAAGTTGGGTAGAGGATATTAAGGCAGGAGAGCATAAGGTCTTTATCTCATCATCTCCAACAGGCTGGTCAAACGATGACGTAGGCCTAGCTTGGCTTGAGCAGGTGTTTGATCGCTATACAAAGCAGCGATCAGGGAGATGGCGATTGCTCATCCTTGATGGCCATGGATCTCATGTCACGATGGAGTTTATCGACTACTGTGATCGCCACAGGATCCTCCTCATAATCCTTCCTCCCCATTCAACCCACACGCTCCAGCCGCTCGATGTGGTGCTGTTCAAGCCACTCTCTCAGGCCTACTCCAACGAGCTCACTAACCATCTCCATAAGGCTCAAGGCCTCGCTCCAATCAAGAAAGGGGACTTTTTCCCACTCTTCTGGAGCGCCTGGATATCCTCCTTCACGGAGAGTCTCATATTGAAGGCCTTCGAAGCCACTGGGATCTGGCCAATGGACGCCAACGTTATCCTCCGTAGATTTGCCAGCACGCCAGAAGCTGAGAGAAGCTCATCATCAGGGCTCTCTGATCATGATTGGAGAAAGCTTGATCGATTAGTTCGAGCTGCTGTCACTGATAGCCATCAGTATAAGGCAAGAAAGCTACGCTCAAGCGTTCACCATCTCTCTGTTCAGAATGAGCTTTTAAACCATAAAGTAGATGGTTTAGAAGAGGCTCTTCAACATAAAAAGAAGCATAAGAAGAAGGGCAAAGCTCTTGACCTTCAACAGCGCCAGGAGTATCACGGTGGCTCTGTCTTCTGGTCTCCTCGCAAGTTGCGTGAGGCTCGAGCTAGAGAAGCAGTACGGGAGCGAGATGAGACGGAGGAGAAACTCCAAAAAGCACAGGCCAAGAAGCAGCGTAAGGAGGCTCAGCTGCAGCGTCAAGTTGAGCTCGAGCAGAGGCGTGTGGAGAGGCAGAGGCTCAAGGAAGCGAAGGAGCTTGAGCGAGCTGAGAAAGCAGCTGAACGCGCGCGCAAAGTTGAAGCTCAACACCAGAAAAAAACTATCCAACAAGCTCAACAACGCAAGCGTAAAGCCTCACAAGTAACCTTATCAAGTAACAAGCGTCAAAAACGCGCTAGCGCTGCTCACGCTGGTGATCAAGCTCGAGATGGGCCATCTGCTGCTCTACCTAAAGTCACATTACGTGGTCGCAACGTCAGCCTCCCGCAAAAATATAGATAGTACAAGTTGATCGCAAGCATCTAATTACTGCTACACCACGTTTTAATCAATATTGAGCTATTGTGTGGCGTTGTACAGCCTCATTCTTGAGATTGAGCAGATGGTGTTCGGCGTGCGCGCTGCGAATCCGTGCGCGCTGCGCACGGGCACGTTAGCTGATAACATGATCCATGGGCGAGCGGCGCACACGGGCGAGCGGCGCACCCCACCAACTTTACTCACCTTACTGATCTTAATCTACAATGGCTCAACGCAGCGCTACTCAATTACTATCAAATGAAGCAGATATTCAGCTTGCTATCTCATCTATTAATGCGCACCAGATCCAAGGTACCCGTACTGCTGCAGTAGTCTACAACGTAGCCGAAACAACGCTCCGCCGCCGACGCGCTGGTATACCTGCCCGACGCGATTGCCCGCCCAACTCAAGGAAGCTTACCCAGAGAGAAGAGGAGGTGATTATTAGCTATATACTTCAGCTAGATCTGCGTGGATTTGCGCCTACCTACACAGCTGTACGTGATATGGCTGATAAGCTGCTGGCTGCGCGTGGTGGAGAGCAGGTTGGAGTCAACTGGCCATCTACCTTTGTTAAGCGTACAGACAGTCTTCGGACGTGTTTCAACCAAGCGTACGATAGGCAGAGAGCTCTTTGTGAGGATGCAACATTAATAAAGAGGTGGTTTAAGCTTGTAGAAGAGACAAAGGCTGAGCTAGGTATCGTGCGATGAGGACGTCTACAACTTTGATGAAGCTGGCTTTATGATGGGCAAGATTACAACGCAGCTAGTTATAACAGGAGCAGAGAGGAGAGGCAGGCCGAAGAGTATTCAGCCAGGCAATCGCGAGTGGGTAACGCTGATCGCTGCTATCAGCGCTGCTGGCTGGTCAGTCCCACCGTTCCTCATCTTCGCTGGCCAGTACTACCTATCAGCCTGGTATAAGGAAGCTGAGATCCCACGCGACTGGGCGATCGCAGTCAGCGATAATGGCTGGACGAATAATGAGCTTGGAGTTGAGTGGCTAAAGCACTTCAACGCTCACACGCAGGCTCGTAGTGTAGGCGCGCGTCGCCTGCTTATTATTGATGGCCATAAGAGCCACCAATCTCTAGAGTTCCAGGAGCTCTGCAAGGAGAACAATATCCATACGCTCTGTATGCCTCCTCACTCATCTCACCTACTCCAGCCACTTGATGTTGGCTGCTTCTCGCCATTGAAGCGCGCGTACAGCCGTGAGGTGGAGAGCCTTATGCGCAACCACATCAACCACATCACCAAGCTAGAGTTTCTGCCAGCGTTCAAGGCAGCATTTGATCAAGCGTTCACGCCAGCCAATATCTGCTCAGCCTTCCGCGGCGCAGGCCTTGTTCCTCTACAACCAGAGGCTGTTCTATCAAAGGTAGATGTACAACTGCGTACACCTACTCCTCCAGCAGCTCTGCCAGAGGCTCCCTGGGTAGCTCAAACGCCGAGCAACGCGCGTGAGCTTGAGGCTCAGTCAAGCCTAATACGTGAGCGCGTGCGCCAGCACAAGAGCTCATCACCAGCTTCAATTATTATGGCGATTGACCAGCTAAAGAAGGGCGCCGAGGTGATGATGCTCTCTGCTGAGCTGATGCGCGATCGGATCTCTAGTCTTGAGAAGGCCAATAGCGCAGCCTCAGAGCGTAGGCGGCGCTCTAAAAGGCGTATACAGAAGCATGGAGTACTCACAAAGGGAGCTGGAGAGGATATACTGGCTCAAAATGAGGCTGACCAGCAGATTGCTCATGAAGAGCGTCAAGGAGGAGCGCGATCAGGCCTCAGCCAGCGGGCTCAAAGGCGCTGCACTAGGTGCAAGGAGACTGGGCACAACTCGCGCACATGCAAGACTGATACTATTAATATAGAGTAATCTACTGTATCAATATCTAGCAATAATATTATCGCGTTGTTGAGATGCATCGCTTTAAAGTTGCAAAAGTTGGTGGGGTGCGCCGCTCGCCCGTGTGCGCCGCTCGCCCATGGATCATGTTAGAGCGTTTAGAGAAAAAGGACGCGGCCCTAACAAAGCTATAAGTTAATGACTGGTTCTGGCTCGTTCATGAAAAGATTGTGCCTTGTAAGGTATTCTCTGACATTCTCGAGACGGTGGCTTACGTCAGGCATCGCCCTAACAACAGACGCTTGCATCGACAGCGACGCGACAAAGGGAAAGCCCTAAAGAATGGGCTAGATGTATAGACAAGAGGACCCAAAGGACTAGATAGAGGTGCTAGAAGAGTTGATCATGCGGCGAAGGGAAGAAGGTTGTGGTGTTCGTAGGACTGGCGATCACAATTTCCTGAAAGGGTTTAATTTGTGATGGGCTAGAGCCCAGTGGGTGAATCCTCGATGATATCTCGGTCACGTGTGCGAGACGCACAGAGCAACCACACGCGTCTGAACGACGCTTAGACCATCCGCACAGTCCATAGGTAGAAGGTTATTCCGGCCGCTCCCCGAATAACCTTCAGCACGAGATAGCTTGTAGTTCTCTTCCCTATCGAATACAACTCCAGTATACCTGTGCGATTGCTCCCTGAGCGTAGCCCCTTACATAATTTTGGAATAGGGGGTGTTCCGTGTCGCCATACCTGAGTAGGCATAACTTACGTACATGTAAAAAAGATACTATAGATATAGCCTAATCTACTCTACAGATTTCTATAAATTGTATAATTGTGTTGTTAAGATGCGTTACTTTGAAGATGCGAAAGTTGGTGGGGTGCGGCGCTCGCCCGTGGAACACGTTACAATCAATACAACACATACATACTCTCCTAATTTCTGTTAACAACACCCGTACTCAACCGTGCAACAGCACTCTACACCTTTTGTTTACGGTTCTTATCTATAGCACCTAGGGCATTTGCAACCTAATATGCCTTGTTCAGCCCAACCCTTCTTAATTTCCGCAACTGGTTACTTTGATCACGCTCGAACACCAATTCCAGATCATTGCGATCACTAACTCGTATCCCAACAGGCTCCTGATATGTTTCTATGGAGTTGATGCCAGCCGAAACATGGCGCAAATGCTCACTGCGCTTTGACTGCAACGCAAGAACAATGATCTCAGTTGCCGAATTCCATGCCGTAGATGTGTGGCCGCTACTGAGCATGTATGTTATGTATCCGACAGCGAATATGCAGTATGCCATGATAACGATTAGCGATAAGCGTGTAGATGTGGATGATGTTTCATATCCGTAGCCAAGACGCGTTAAGGCAATCTCAATCACTGTATACTGTTCATTTCCAGATGCGCTTTGTATCTGCTCTCTCCAAGGGATTTCGGAAAAGACGGTAGCCAACGCAACAGCTAGTCTGGTGCTGTCACTTTGAAAATCTTTGGATATCATGGCGCCAAATGACGGAGTGTTCAAGCCAGTGATGCTGTCGAGGTCAGCGGAAATTGGGCGTGCAGTTTTGGGTAAACCATGATCCAAGTTCGAAAGCGAGCCTGTACGGACTACCCATGAACCGCCTTCCGCTGCAAGTTCGTGTTGAGACGGCTCCCAGAAAGCGGCTACTGTACATGTCTTTGTGTACAAACAAGGACCGGACAACGGCGTAGATTGATTGAATTTGTTGAGTAGTAAATCCAAAATCACGTATCGCTCCAGGCTGGCGCAATTGTTTTGAATGAAGCTGCCAACAACTGAAGAGGAACCGGGTTCAGGCGAAGCAACCCAGACCGGTGGTATAGCGTTGACTGGTGTGTCTCGAGAGCCGCCATGGTCGAGAAAATGCTGAATTAGGTTCCTCAGACTGGAAATAGTGCCGATAGAAGCACCGTCGTCCAGAGAGTAGGTGACTGGCGTATCCAATGTCGTTTGTCGAGTGTTGTCTGCATTTAAGCAGTGCGCTGTGACTGTAACACGTGGTAATTTAACCGATCTTATGATATCAATCCCAGGGATCCAAGTACCGCCATCTTTCATGACAGGAATCTGGTATAAGACCTGTGCACTGAGCTGGGTCGGGATGGTGGCGTTTGCGGAGCGTACCAGGAAATTGCCTTGGCCGTTTGGAACCTCCTTCTCCGTCATGATATAAAGCAAAGCTCGTGAGGTCAAGTGTACCATCGTGTCGTTTCCATTGTAATAGATTTGAGTGCTGGTATACTCTGTCTGTGATTCTTCCGCGAATGCGTAAGTTGTGGAAAAACGATCCAAGTTACTGCACTCTGTCAACGCTGGTCATAATGCGTTGCGCTTTTTTTTGCTCACAATGTCAAATTTTGCCTGTTATCTAGTCGAGAGGGGAACATGGCATCTTCATCGCTCGTGGATCGCCAGTGCAGAACAATTGGTCTGCTTGACATTCCTGCCCGTGGAATCATCAAAACAGCGCTCGACGGCCCAACAAGAGCTGTCAAAAGGATTAACAAAGGAACCAGACAAACAAACAGCGCTTTCCGCCGCCCGCAGAAGGACTGAGATGTCACTGCAGCCAGTAGATCGAGCGACCAGAGGTAGGATATTTGCATCGCCTGTGTAGATGCTGACAGCGCACCTAAAGGCAAATATCCTTCCATAATTTGTGAACGAACGATGCTTAAGACGATCTCAGCAAGGGATGCCTGCATCAGAAGCTCTTGTAATTTGGCGACAAATTGTAGCGTAGTAGAGAGCGTGAAAGAAGGTCCCACAAAATGTTGACTCCAGTTCAGTATCAAGACCGCGACTGCACTGCTCAGGGGAACCAAGTGTAGTAAAGCATGGCCAGTAGCTAACCAATGACTCTGGTACATCGCAGTCTTGCGACGTTCTGCAGAAAATGTCCATGACTTAATCGGGGCAAGAAATTGCAGCTTCCAATATCGGAGGAAGTCCTGACTACTCGAGATTTGTGGTTGTTCGCTACTATCGCTTACAACAGGTCGAACCTTGTCTTCAATCAGGTTGGTCCCTGGGTCATCGTGTCTAGGTTTGTGAGCTCAGATGTTGACAAGTAGTGGGGATTCGCTAGCTCACCTTTGACTATGCATTAGTATTGCTAGTGGTAATGTCGTGAGGTCGATCTGGTAGTTACACAGAGAGAAAAATCGCAAAACAATTTACTACAAGCCAGGGCATGAAGTATGTTCATAAATCGGATGGGTTAAGGGGGTCAGATGCTTAAAACATGCGGGCTGCGTAATGCCGGCTACCCTGCCACAAAAGCTCGCTTGTAGAGTACCTTAATCTGTGATGAAACACGTTAATCCTGAGTAGGCAGGCACATAGAGGCAAGACAACGCCGCCAAGCGGTCGACAACAGGGTCGCGAAATGCTGCAAGCGAAAGCTGAAGAACAGTGCTCCCCTCATCCATCTCTTTTGAGATTGCCTAGCCTCATATGAAACGACGAAGAGATAGCTATTGAAGCCCCGCCGCCGCTGCTAGATGATTGCTAGCTGCTGTGATCACTGCAGAAAACCGTTGTGCCGCCACCGCCGCTTCGAAAGCCATTTAAGATGTCCCTGACCGCGACAGCAGCGCTTCTAATGTGTATTCCACCGTTAGGCCCGCATAGCAGCTCTCTATATAGCAAGAGTTTGCATATGAGCGTGGTATGGACCGTACATAACCGACCCGTTCCTGTCGTAAGTGGCTGCCCCCGCCCTGCCGCCGACACGAGCTCGTCCCGCATCGCCTTCGCACACGGATACACCCACAATTGATATTGCACCGTTCTGTTCAGTCGCGCATCGCGTCCAATAAACAGGCCTAAATGTAGACGCACACAATTCAGATTGATAGGATTACATTGATAAAGTGGGTGCGTATCCAATCACGACATTTACTGCTAAAAGACATCGTGACAGTGACACTTCCTACCCATGGCGCTCCACCTCTCTCACGATTGTTACGTTTTTTCGTTCCATCGTATGTCCCACCGCTTTCGACGGTTTCCGCTGTACTATTTTGGCTTTGTCTCGGCCACGATTGCTGCAGGTTCCTCTCCTACTACCATTGGACGCGCCTACTGTTGGCATTACTGCAAGAAAGGCACAGGCTACTTACTACACTTGTAACCATACACGCGGACTTTTCCGTAACAACGACGACAGCGACAATTACGCCGGGCTTGATTTTAAGCCTGTGCCATACCTTGAGCGGCGCCACATTGCGCGTAGTGGGCACGGCGGGCTTTGCACAGCCCCACCTTCCGTGTATAGCTTAGCGCTAGATGACCGCTGCAATTGGTCCCTCCTTATGCGAAGAGCAACCCTGTGAGCCGATGTTGCCCAATGAGAGCGCAAGTGTAGCAAATATCCAGACCTTACGCTACCTTTCATTGGCCAACATCGGCCCACTAGGATATTCGTCGCGCAGGGAGGGAGGTTAGCTTGTCAACAACCAGACCAGCAGATAGGACAGTGTAGGTGAAGTCTCACAAGTTGACTCAATTCTGGACTGTATTGGTGTGGTCGCGTTAGGGCTGCCCGAGATATCGGCACACAGCTTGATCAAAAAATATGCTTAAGCAGCTGCATCAGACAAAGCCAGCAGACAAAGAAACGTATGTAGAAGCTGGCAAGCGCCGCCAAATTATCCTTGGTAAACTGTGCGCCTCCTGCTACCAGGAGCGTGCGATATTTTAAGGGATCCACGCTAGACCCAAAGCACGTAGATTAGGGGGTGGCGCCACACTAGACTGCAACAGGAGAAAGTCAGCACCTGATTCGCGTTACACGAACGCGTTTTTGGGGCAAAATGCACGATTACTTGACTAGGAAAAATCAGTGGTTGATACCACGAGGCATCTTATACTAGGCGCTCCATAGAAGATGAACAATCCCATTAGACCGAGGAGAGCATTCTCTGATGCCTGTTGTGGAGGCGTCATTCGTCTCCTCATATTGATTAGGGGCTGTGCGAGGTGGCGCAAGAGATGAATCTGCCTTGCGATAGGCATCTACCGTAGAGCGGAGTTAGGATAGGCTCGGAGAGCGACTAAAACCTTGGCACCAATGCCTCAATATATTACAAACTATTGGAACAAGGTCCCTCTAGTAGTATGACTACTATGGATAACCGAGTGGGAGGAGGGACAAGGCGGGGTGGCTGCAACGTATTGTATTTGTCAAGCGTCAAGGTTGGGGAGAATCATCATGTCGTATTAGAGCTATCGGGAAGAGGTCTATATACGCAGTGGGAGGAGAGAAGGAGCTAGGCCGTAAAGGTACTAGCGGGTAAATAGGTGGCTGCCTGGTTGCCCAAAGAGGAGCCAAGGGATAAGCCCTATGGCCGACAGTATTGACTATCGTATTGAGTGTGTCAAACTCACTCTGTTCTGGTGGGTGCTATTGCCCAGCGGGCGGTGCCTGCCACACCAGCATATCATGTGACTCCCAAGCACCTTCTACCCTGGACTGAACTCAGATATTCTCAACAATTATTATTATTATTTGTTGGTAGGCCTTGTACGATCGTATGGGTGAATAACAACAACGAGGTTCTTCTGGTGACTGGTATTGGTATTGATTCTCTACGAACATAGGTGCTACGAAGGTTGTCAGAATATGGGCATATTTTGGGTGGTGGACAAAATCCGGGTGTTCGGAGCTGTGGATTCTGTGGATCAGTTAAATTAGTCAGCGCGCACAATCCACCGCGACCCAACTGATCGAACAGCGTTGGACAACAGAACAACACCACATCAGACCAGAACAATACAATCGATCCCCATCATATTATTATACTATTATCCCCGTCTTTGATAACCCATCACAATCTGACAAAGGTATACCTAAGCTCAGCACAAGTCGGGCCGAAGTGTCAAGCAGCCGACGTCTCTACCGATACTCGCGATCCGACAACCATCTTTATTGATTCTATTAACACGAAAGGCCTACTAATAAATCTTCAAGCTCCAGCAGTAACCATAATGGTAACCTGTTCAGAGTCAACCTTGATCGGAACTGTCTCTGAACTGCGAAAGTTTCTCTCTATATTCACAGTTGTCAACAATCAATTCAATCCGAAGCTCAAAACCAGCCGCTAACCCTACAAGGTAAGATTTAAACCTATATAAGCAGTTGATAGCCCTAGATAGGAAGTCAATCAATTGAATCTGAGATCACTAAGCCCCACTTAATTGATTGTTGACAAGTCTGTCTATATTATCCAAATCCAGTGCGCTATACCTCGATATCGAGGGATGGAATCTCAGTCGCCATGGAACCGTCTCGATCGTCACTATCCTTGTACATCCATCAAACCAAGCCCAACTCATCGATGTCTCGGCACTGGGTGACCTAGCCTTTAGCGCAGCATTAGAGGACGGCAAGACTCTTCGGTCTATTTTAGAAGACCGCAGCTTTTGCAAATACATTTGGGACGTACGAAACGATGCAAACGCCTTGTAGTTCCACTATAGAGTGAGCCTTAGTGGCATTACTAACCTCCAACTGCTCGAAAATGCCTCAAGATCAGACGACAAAACATACGTTCGCGGCCTCGATAAGTGTATTCAGAATGACTTAAAACTTAGGTTCATAAAGACAAGCCGCTGGCTTAGGACAAAACAAGACACCAAGAAGCTCATGTGCACCGACGTTTTTTCCATCCGCCCGTTAGAACCCAAGACAATAGAGTACTATCAAAACGATATCATACATCTGCCAGCTTTACGTAAGATATATATAGCGCGTATAAAGCCTAAGTAGCTTAATAAGGCGAAAGAGGAGAGTGAACATCGCGCTACTCAAGCACGATCCCCTGAATACGACCCGCAGTCTAAGGGGAAGAAGGTAGGACCTTGGGGCTCGGGTGGTAAAGGGCGCATCCTTACGATTAACCAAATGTGCGAGATGATAGAAGAGGAGCGGGAAGAGGCTATCGAAAGAGATTTGTTTGGGTATAACGATGACTTAGAATTCCTCGATGGTGATGATGGATGGGACCAAGAAGGTCCCGGCGACTATGAAGATTGGGGCGCTTTACACAGTGATTGGGACAAATATTAGTAAGACTAGCAGTGCTCGCGGCTTGATCGCTTTGTTCGCGGACTGCTGGTGGGGGAGGCTGAAGGCTGGCGAAAAGATGAAGTTGACGCAAGCCGCGACTCAGTCAGAGGAGTTAGAGAAAGAGAAGAACGCCGCAATTCAGGCAGATACCGACCGGTAAGATTTCAGAGTCATTAAACTGAGTACTGACGTGATTTCGAGAGTTATCGCGTGCAATTAAATCTTGTAAATAATAGCTTGAAGTAATGATGCCGCTCTACTCAAAGATTTTCGGGCTTGGAGCTTCCGGCATTCTGTTCTGTGTCGAGGCCAATGTAACGGGCTAGAGCCTGGCACGTGGCTGGCTGGGCTCGTACTTCTCTCCACACTTGTAGTCTTTCGCCTATTTCTCTAACTCTTTGTCGTTCAGCGACCAGCTGAACCACAGATTTTCTCCTTGTTCGCAAAGTACCGCAGTATGCAAACCATGTTTGTCCACATGAGCAAATGACCAAGTCCCCTGCTTTCCCCACAGCGCGAAACTATCTGGAAAATTGAGACCCTGTCGGTTGTCATTGGCAACTCCGGCGCGGTCGCTTGCATCCTGCAAGACTCTATAGTCAGCCAATCCCTGGAGTCCTCATGCGCGCCCATGATCTGAGCTATTGTACCTATTGTGGCTATCCGTGTACACCCAGCGAGGCTGGCGCGCTGCCGTGAGCCAGCTTGGAGCCAGTGTAGCACTGCCCTTTGACCAAGTCACGCTATCCTCCTGACCGCGCCATAGCAGAACCACACACCCAAGGACGTATAGTTGACAAGGTCGAGCAGGTGGAGGAAGCGGAGGCGGGGCGGCGACGGCAATATCGTTGATCAGCCTGACCTGTGTATTAGGCAGGGCATAAAAGCTGACGTGGGCGATTCTCTGCGGCTGGAGAGGCAAAGTGGTTCCAGCGTCTCGATCCCGCCTCACGCCCCGCCTTACGCCCCGCCTCACGCCCCGACTCACCGCCCCGACTCACGCCCCGCTCCAACGCCTGCCTCCTCCAAGCCCAACTCAAGCACATGATGCCGATTATTCGGCGCACTGGTTCCACCAAGAATTTGTTCCGTCGCTGCAAAGTTGCGAGTTGAGAGTTTTTATTGCCACTGAAGCAAGTAAGAAAGGCCGTCGAGGTCGGATTGGGGAGCGCAGCATCAGCTCTGTATCCTGTTTCTGTGCATCGTTGAAGTCGAATTAGAAGTACGCCGTCACCATGCTAGTGTCATCATGGCAGTGCTGCAGCAGATGCTCGATGATGGTGGAGCTTAGGATGGTCTTTCCACATCCTGGGATCCCGTACAGCCACAGTCGCGACGCTGCTCTCTCCTTCCATTCTGCGAACTTGGCGCTTTCTAGCAGCCAGAGCCCAGTCTTGGCTTGCCGCCGCTTGTGGGTTTTGTGGTAGTTGGTGGACGGGTCTGGCGCAGAGAGCCAGCTGCAGATCTTGACAAGCTTCTCTTCTTGGTCATGGCTGCGGCCCCTATATTTCAGAATAACCGCGCTCCTCAGCCGATCGAGTGAGCGGTAAGTGGACGCCGAATATGCCGAACAGAAAATACGCTCCATCTTCTTCCTCTGTCGTCTGCCGATTCGCTGCCCAAGAGAAACGCTCAGCAACGTCGAACTCGGACATGTCGCTCCCTAACGGAGCTTTGAAAGGGATTCCTGTAACCTCGTGTATGGTGTGCTTGAGCGACTCCTTGTCACCCAGCCACCCTCTATCTTCAGAGAAGAACTCGACGGAGTGAGGAGCAAGAAGTTCCTGGAGGGTCCAGCCACGGTTGAACCACCTGCTCTGCCTGAACGGTGACTCGCCATTGGCTTCCAGAGTGTCGCTTCCGACATCTGCAAGGAAGACATAACACTTTTCAGCGTTCTGGTACCAGCGAAACATAGAGTTGATCGCTTTCGACAGCTCCGTATTGTTTGCCTTGTCGATGCAGCAAGTGTCCACCCAGAAGTAGTCCAGACCGTCACGCTCTGCCTGTCGTGCGCAGAAGTGAATCTTGTTCCAATCAGCTTCCTTCTTTGCAACAACGTCCTTGACATTATCCAGGCTCTTCAGATTATCGAAGATCACCTCCTGCTCCCCCCAAGTGTGCGAGAGGATCGCATAGGGAGGAATCTCCTCGCTGCGAATAATATCCTTCGTCCATCTGAGCGTCCCGTCGCTTAAGGTATATAGCAGTCGCATCGGGTGGTATGTATCTGTCTGCGCGAGCGGTAGAAGGAAGTCTTGGAGCCTCGAAGCAGGCTGACGGAATCGACGGTGCACGGCGGCTCGCTTGCGTAGGGCGTGGAGATAGTAGCTGTTAGGACTGTTTCGAGTTCTAAGTAACGGGTAGTTAAGTTAGAGGTGAGGAAGACTGCCCTCCTCGTTGTTGGGGCAGGCTACATCTCCTACACCCAGGCCAGGAGGCGCAGCCCACCTGCGCCGTGACGTGAGGCTGGCCGGGCAAGGCTAACAACGCATCATCGCGCGATAGCCACCGTGCTAGAAAGCAAGAAGCAGTTTTTGCTTAACTATGCGATCTGATGCTGCAGAGAGCGCGTTTCACAGGCCGTTGTTTGCTGCAGAAGCACATCAGGATGTTTGTGCAGTGCGTATTGGTTCGCCCGAGGACGCACTGGCCACAGAGACTGTGCCGCTATCGTTTTGTGTGCCGGAACGCGACGCAACTCAGCGACAACCTCAACACTAACTAGGAACACGGTCAGCGGCGCGTTTGTCTAACTTTAGCGGTATATTGCTGTTGATGCGCACTATGCTATAAACCATATTCACGCCGTCTTCTCCTACCCAATCACAACTACGACGTTCTCGAGCCTGCCGCCCTTGGTGATCGAGTTTCAACATTGCTTATTACCGGTATTACGTTCGGCAAATTTCCGCCACACCACTGCTCTTGGCTTGCATGGCGGGGTAGCCATTTACATCCAGCCTTGTGGCTCACCTGTTCTCGATCTACCATCTTCGTCTCTTGTCCCTTACTCAGCTATGATGTTGTGGGAAGGCTCCCCCCTGCCCCACTCTTCCCAAATATAGACCTCTTAGATGCGTACACATACATATCCATCGAGCCTTCGGTAGGGTTTACAGCCAATAGCAGTGAGTTGCCATACGCATCAATAGCTGTCAGCGACAGCATGAGCGTCAGAAGCCTGGCGCAGCTTGGCATGGGTAACGTGCTTATGATTAGCATCAGCATCAGCATCGGTTACTCAACAAGAGACGATGATCGGCAGGCCAATCAACGTGAAGCGCAATCTCCGGGAGCAAAAATCTACGGGACAATGTGTGTACACTCTCATGCACTTGCAGCTTCCGGTTTCTATAAGCACGTAACTTTTGATCCCATGCTAAGCCTCTCTCGGTTAATGGTGATCTTACCTGAACAGTGCTAGCTCCAGTCAGCAATGCCATGGGCTAATCTTCTCCTCTACTCGGGCCAATCAAAGTGAGATATTCATAGGGTCTAAGCATTTTCTGAGCAAGCGTATACTAGGCGGATCGATGTGCCGTGCGAGATGACAACTGAGTTGCGTGTGCAAAGCGGAAGCTGCAAGTGCATGGGAGTGTACGGCGACATTTATACAGTCGCTAGCGATTGTGGCTTCACCCCTGTCGGCAGCGTTCCAAAAGTCTAGTCATCAAAGGATCGAGGACTGGCCGGTCACACCAATAATTCAGCTGCTAACTTCTTGTGCTAAGCTATATAAGGAAGGTGGGGCTGCTCAAATCCGTTGCGCAGCTGCGCGTACGGGTGAAGCCACAATCGCTAACGACTGTACCATAGGTGTAGTTAGTCTGACCCTGATCAACTTATCCAAGCTGTAAAATTTTCAGTGTAGATCGCCGTTTGCAATAGCGTCGTACCCGAATGGTGTTGATGATGCAAGCACAATAAGCGGGTTGTGCGCCAAGTCGACCCCACCTCGGAATCAATACCATTTGCAACGCATGAACAGTACATAACGTTGAGCTCTGTGCCGCGTTCAGATAATTCAAGTTATAGCATCTATTTACAACGATCATGCAGCCCTTGACCCAATCATGCATTGGAGGAACTATATGCAGTCGCTGACCAAAGTCGAGTTAAGATCTTCGTAAGGATAAGGCATGAGTAGCCTTATCGATCGGCTCGCCTGTGTACCAAGAAATTGCATTGCTATTCCAAAAGTCGTCATAAGAAATTGACCCTCCTAATCTTGTCTTGTGGCTTGTCATTCCTTGCATGATCATAGATATCCGCACTTTCATTGGAGCTGCCTATGAATTGTTGCATAATGTGGCGCTGAGTATGGGGGTTTGATGTTGTACGAGCTTCGTGGCGGGCGCTAAATGGCCACTGCTGCTGGGGTCCGCGTCGTGCAGAGCATGTGTTCAGCATTGTTGCCTGAAGATGATGGTGCCACTACAATAACTATTGAGCACATACTCAACGGCATCGAGAAGTCTCCACCTTCTCATTTTGTCTCGCACAGTGTTGGAAGGCCTTGTACGATCGTACGGTGAATAACAGTAGCTAAGGTAATCTTGTGTATTGGTATTCTGGTGTATGATGATTCTACGAATGTGGGGGCTACGAAGGTATACATAGCGTTGGGTCCGAGTTGGGCCGAAGTAGGATCGAGGCGGTACATTGGGCCTTATTAGGCGACACACCGTGTGTATGCCGACAGTTAGAGAGGTTGACTGCAGAACTCCGCAACAAGGTCACCGAACTTCTCAAACCCCACGATGCTGGCCATCCGATCACGTACAACCATTACCTAACCGAGAATGTCCAAAAATCGCAAAGTAAACGGCAAGCACGAGAGATCAAGAGGTTTCTAGAACGAATTCTTGGCGAAGACTATACCGCCGTTGGCGTTTTCAATATCCCTATCAACGTTAACATGTTAATCAATGCACTAGTATCAAAAACTGAAGCAGACATGAGTAATTACGCTAGCTCTACTGCCACGGATTTTATGGAAGCCTACTACAAGGGAAGTACTGTTAACATACCTTCTGTATCAGAGCCTAACTACCGCAGGTGGCAATGAAGAAAATCATCGACGATTTTAGTGTGCTCGCTGTCGAAGCACGTCTTATTCAAGAGCTTCCATCCTTGTTCTGTCCAGCCAATGTAATCGATATTGATGATACAGCAGTGGCTGTCTTGGCGTCAGAAAGCGAGGAAACATCGACAGAGAGGACACTTTGTAACGAAAAACTTAAGATACTAGAAGATGGACTGAGAGAATTGCAGAACATTCAGGAGCTACCATCAGCTATACAAGGTACGAGGTTCTGGCATCCAGAACCCGACGGAACATCTATGAAAGGTGCGCATAGTTAACCGAAGGCTCTTCTGCTGCTGACAAGACGCCACAGATCTCGTATGGATAGAATACATATCGGGATCACCAAGAAAGCACCAGCCGAACGAATGTGTTGCATCTTCACCCAGACGGCCGTTCATACCAGAAAACGCTGCGCCAGCAGATGATTGGACTTATCCCGAAGAAGCCCCTGTGTCAGACTATCCACTATATATACCTTCATGCTACAACTGCAGGAAGGTCGGCCTTTTTGTAGTTCGACATAAAGGGCATGGTATCATCATCCCGATCTAGGCTCGTGGCTGTTTGGGTGGCTGGATGCTTCTATCATCGTCATCCGTGTGGCAGTATGAATGTTTTCGCCAATGGAGCAACATGCAAGAGCTTTCCCCAGTGTTCCGATACAGTCGACGGGCCCAAGCCGTGTTACAGCCGCTGGGCAGCTGGAGTTGGCAAGAAGGTCAGTTGGTGCGGATCGTGATCTCACTTTGGTTGGAATTTGCTTCATCAATGCGTCCTGCTATGCGAAGGTTCGCTTCAGATCCTCATGTCTAGTGGACACGTCATGCAAAAGGCGGTATTGTTACGCAAACACGCTCAGCCATGTATCAGAACGCACAGTCCATAGTGGCACAGTTCTACTCTGGTATTCTGCTCTGGAATGCCCCTGGATTCCAAAACTAAACCTAATCGGGAAATCTAATTTGCGCTCAAGCCACCCAACCCCAAACCCAACGCCCCTGACACCGTTTTCCTCACCTCTTGCATTTCCGCCAAAGCACTTGCTATTACTCTAATTAGCAGCACGTGCAACCACTCTCTTTCACCGTTACATATTCATCGTTGCTTGTTCCTATCGTTCCTTACTGCGCTAGACGTGTAAGACAACCTAGAACTCTCATTTCTGTCATGTCAGCAAAGATCTGGGAGACACTAGGCCTCTACCTCAACGAGCCAGAACCTGCAATTATCTGTCGTTCTTTCAAATTTGCTCTGAAAGGCTCTGTCGATTCTGTTGTGAAACATCGTAGGGAGAAGCACAATGCCCTTAAATCAACCCACGATGAGACAAGGCGCCTCTTGCGTCCTTACAGCTTCCTGGAACCAAAAAAGCTGCTTGTTCGACCGGACAGGTCAGCTCCGCACCCGTATCTCCTTGTACAGCACGGTGCTGCGTGCCAACATTGCCCTTTCGGGACTACGAGCATTGAGTTGCTAGGTCGCCATCTATTAATGTCAGTGTGTCCAATAACCAAGTAACTTGGCTTGGTTGGTTGACTTTGGTTGATTACGTAACAACCAACCACGAGTAAACGTCTGTCCGAGCAACCACAAGTAAGGGTTCTCGCATTACTCGAGTCAACTCGAAGTTGGTTGACGACCTTACGGCATTAGGCATTTTTGTAGAGGAGGTGGGCGACCCAGAGTTTTTTGGGGCATCGGGATAGGAAAAACTATTAGTCTGAATGTTCTGATTGGCTGGAAATTGCCGCTCTTGAGATTTGCTGTCGAAAACTCTAACGCCTGCAGCCTCAATGTACGAAACCGCCAGACTCTAGGCCAAACATGCCTACCCACCCATTTTTTCAGCCTCGTGGAGGATCCACGGGTTCCCCTCTACCTAAGACTCCCTCCGAATCCCTTAGCTATACCCTAGAAAGCATAGAAACCCCAAGTTCCGTTTCAACCAACACTGCTGCCACCTTCGAAAGAGAGCTGCCGACATCTACTCAATGCCCTTTCCCTATTGACTGGGACAAAATTCGCTATGAAAGGAAGGTGTTGCCGTCGATTCGATATCGTCAGCCTCATAAGCGGGCCCTTAACTCTAAAACCCAGCCCTCGCCAATCTACAAACACGGTGCGCAGCTCACAACCGATGGAGAGAACAAGTTCTGGCTCTGCAAATACTGCCATCTTAGCGGCCAGCATGATTCTGCGCTGTATAGTAGTGAGAGTACTACTAGTATCATGTATTACCTAAAGAATCAACACAAACTTGAAGAATTTGGTTACAAAGTAATGGCATTAAACCCGTTCGATATAGCTAAGAGGGCAACGGGCTCTATACCATACCTTGGAGGCCGGCGCTTGATCTTTAACGACTCTCAGTTCAAGAACGAGTTTATTGACTGGGTTATTGATCTTGACTTTACTTTTCGACAAGCGACACATCAACGCACTCGTAATATGTTTGCTAGCTGCTTAGAGGATATTGATAGGATTCTACCTAAGAGCCCATCAACTCTTAGCACCTGGACAAAAGAGATGTGGGACGGTGATACTGGGAGACGTGCTTGGCTGAAGGAAAGGCTTCATCTTGCGAAAAGCAAGATCCATATCTCGACTGATGCCTGGACGTCTGAGGAAGGAACAAACTATGTGGCAGTTGTTGCTCACTTCCTAGACGAGAAGCATAAGTTGCAAACAGCTCTTCTTGACCTCCCGCCTCTCAAAGGCCCCCATTCTGGAGAGAACATTGCGAAAGTGCTGTCAACGGTTATCGACTTGTACGATATATCCGCTATCATTGGCTTCTTCATGATGGACAATGCTGGGAATAACGATACCTGTATTGAAGAACTAGCAAAGCAGTACCCCACAATCACACAGCAGAGTCGCCTTCGGTGCGTTGGCCATATACTAAATCTTATCGTCAAAGCTCTTCTCTTTGGGACGGGTGTTAGCAAGTTGGAGAAAGAGCTCTGTGGCGCATCTGATGACGAGCGGTTTGAGATATGGAGGAAGCAGAGCTTTATCCGCAAGCTCCATAATTTCTGTGTGTGGATTAACCGGAGTGATCAGCGGCGGGAGCTTCTGAGAGAGTATATCTTGCAGGCGTACGATAGAGGCAGCATCGAAAACCTTTACACTAGGGTACTGGCTGACGGTGGCGTCCGCTGGAACTCTGTGTACGCCATGATCGAGAGAGCTCTTAAGCTCCGTAACGCAATTGATTTGTTCTTTCTCCACTATAATCATAGTGGTGAAGGATACGATATCTCACAGGACGCTATTACTCAGCGCGATTGGACTGATTTGGAGCACTTCTTCAACATCTTGAAGCCGTTTAAAGATCTGACCAAACGCATGGAAGGCCGGGCCAATAAAGCTGGCCTTGAAGGATCACATGGCTCACTCTATGAGACACTCGAGTCACTTGACGTTCTCTTTAAGAAGCTCCAGGAGGCCGGAAAGTTCGCAGACGATCACCCCGAGCAGGTTTCGGAATACTATTCCTGTGCTATTGATACTGCCCGCCTCAAGCTTGAAGAATACTACGGCCTTACGGACGCTACGCCAGCCTACCGATGCGCTGTCGCCCTCCATCTTGCGAATAAATTTACCTATTTCGATATCGAATGGCAGCATGAGAAGAAATGGATCACTGAGGCGAAGCGGGTGGTGCATGATGAGTACGTACAATACGAGGAAGCAGCTGCGGAAGCAGAGATAGCAGAAGCAACACAAGAGGAGGATAATGAGGTTAGTACTGATAGCGATACGACGCTTGATCTTCTCCAGCAAGCTCGTAAGCGTCGCCAGCGGGTCGCCGCTAGTACGGCGTCTACGCGAGGAAAGAAGCGCGCAAGAGTCACCTCTGACCTTGATCAATTTATATCTAGGACTAATAAGGCTGATGGAGATGTTGAAGACCCTCTAGAGTGGTGGGTTCGCCATGCACCTGACTATTCTGTGCTCTCTAAGATGGCGTTTGATCTGTTTAGTTGTCCTGCAATGAGTGCTGAGTGTGAGAGGATATTCTCTCAGACGAAGAAGGTCATCACGGATGAACGAAATCGGCTCGATTCGGGGACTGTAGCGGCAATTGAGTGTCAAAAGCACCTTCTTCGAACTGGTATGCTCCTGTAGATTAGTATAGATATCAAATCGGGAAATTCTATCGAGTAATGTCAACCAACCAAGCAAAGTAAGGGCTTCTCGTCAACCAACCAAGCAAGGTAAAGGACTCTTGTCAGTCAAGTCAAGTAAGAGGGGCGATTTTTGGTTTACTTGGTTGATGGACACACTGATCAATGTTGCATAGGATGAAACGGAAAACGACGACTTGGCTTCGCGACCATGCGGTGGATGGCTTGTTCCTCCAGAGCTGGGATAGAAACGGCGCATGCGGCTACTGGATCGTCGACTCAAATCGCACGGTCACAGCTAATGATCGATTCGACAGCAGTCTGCTTCAACATTCTGTTCCACGGCTCATTCGACTTGAGCAATTGCATCATGATGAGCGAGAACGCATCACAAGTTGGGATGCAGGCGTCGCGGCCACCGATACTTGTAGCGTCGATATGGCGTTGAACACGAACTGGATGCGGCGCACGGGTTGGACTAAAACATTTGCTGTAACGGTTTGGGACTTGCCAAGACCGACTTGGGTGAGAGTTGGGTACGGCTATCGCTACCACACTTTCTCATCACACACACCTATATAGCTGCAGTTCCTCCATAGCTACACAATGCAACGCAGTCCTCCTCCTCTCCTCACACCGTTACATTTGCTGGTACCAACCGGAAGCTTCTTGTAGAGCTTGCGCAGCCTCCATGCGTTGCGAGAGGGAACCTCTGTCTTGAAACCTGCGGGGACAGAAAACTATGCAGCGTCAAAGAAGATGAGCGAAGATTAGTCCTAACAATTGCCGCTCTTGATCGATTATTCGATCAATGTGAAGATACCGCCGAGCATACAGATGTATCCATTCGCTGTTGGCTCCGTGGCCAGGACTCCGAACGCCCCTACAAGGCGCCTTTTGAGCTCGTTGGCCGTAAATCTACAACAAATGCGTATAGAAGGCTATTGAAGAGATGCATATGTTTCTGCGTGCGCTTGTGGAGGCTCGGGGACGATACCAGGCAATTACTAGTCCGCAAATCGATTACGGAAACCCGACTGGAAGCACTTACGCAGCTATGGTCAGACGATATATGGTCGACTCACCCTGATTTGCAAGCTCCGGGGTTTGGGGCTAGGGCTGAGTCGACTTAAGGCCCTGGGATAGAGCATGTGATGTATACCTCAGATAATGGGGTAGCATTGGTGACGAACTTGTTGTATCCAGGTCCGCTCTATCCTGAACACATCCACCAGCTACATATCAGATCCTCCATCTCGTCAAGCCTAATCATGCTATCATGCATACCGGGTCTACTCCTCCTTTTCATCACCATCTCCCTCCTGGGCAGGCTCGTATGCCTCACCGTCGAAGAACGTATTGCCTTCAACGTCGAACGCCTCCTGCGCATCATGGAAGTCGTCGTGATTATCGTCCTCATTATGCTGGAACAGATGCTCTTTGTCATAGTCTTCGTCGTCAGATTCATCCGCACCGTCAATCTGGTTGCTTGTGGCTTGTGTAGTATGTAGCAACTCGGTTTCGGTATCCTCTTGCTCCTCGAGAGCGGCGAAGAACGAATGCTCAGTAGAGAGCGGCTTTCCGGTCGTGATGAATCCAACAGGCGTGTGTTCGAAGTCGAGGCCACTACGACGTACAGCGAGCCAGTCATGCAGGAAAGCTAGAGGCTTCGCGGTAAATGTCTCCTTGCAATCACTCGGCACAAATTCGGCAGCGTCTTCACGAGTAGCTTCCATGCCTAGATAAGACATGATCATGTCGTACTCATTCCACTCGAAGTACAGACGACCTGCAAAGATGCCCAGCTCGACCTTTAACCAAGTTGGCGCTTTGAAGGTAGTTGGTAGACATGGGATTGCATAATAGTCGATGTCGTTGAAGTGTAGCATGTGTCGAGTGAGTGGGGCTGCATACACAATAAGATGACAAGTCGGGACGTCGAGAAGCTTGTTGCGCAGGATCGGGATAAGTCGGTCTGCCTCCTCGGGGCTGACTAACATGCCGATCTCCTTTTGGCAATGCCACAGCAGCCAGTGGCAGGGTCGAAGGAAGTTATCGTTTGTCTCAGGGACATCGACAGTCCTAGTAAACTGTGTAGAAACAAGTAGCCGACCAGGAGTACTGGCAGCCGTGGTTGTACCATGTTTGAAACCAAGTGCCGATTTCCGTAGAGCACAGAACATAGGTTCAAACGCACCGCTTGCCATTGATAGTCTACCAGTAGTGGCAAATTGCTTGATGTCGCGATGCAGCTCATCGATCGGCAAAGCTTCGAAGCGAACAGGCGGCTGCACCTCGCGAACGCACTCGAGCTCGAACTCCACCTCACGCTCTTGCTCTACTTCCTCGAGGCTAGAAGAGCAAATGGTCATGCCACGGTCCTGGAGGTCTCTTCTACGCTGCAGAATCTCGGTAGCATATAGCCGTAAGGGCGGGGCAAACGTAGCGGGGTCGACGAAATTGATGGCTTGCGCAGATTTTGGTTCGTAAAGCTCCTTCAACGAGACCTGCTCTTTCGCGCGTACGACCTTGAGGAACGCCTTTCGGGACGATCGAGTCTGAAGGAAGTCTGGGTAGTCAAGCTTGGCTTGTGTACGCTTCAGATAGTCGACGCTCTGGTTGTAGTACAGCGGCTCGAGCTGGTCTATGGCATTGCAAGACCGCTGTAGAAGCCATCGAATGACGTCGGGCGATCCTAGTGATTCAATAGGCGCCTTCGCAGCTGATCGGACATCCAGAATGCTCTGATGTACTTCAGGTGGAACGAAGAACGTGACGGACTGTGACTTTCCGAGAAGTCTCATTCTCATCGCTGCTTGTGCGAGTGCATCTTTGGTCAGATGAGGTCCTAGCGTTACAGCGGCCCTCGCGTATGGTGGAAGCTTGAGATCGGTGCCTAGGCAATAGTCAGCAGTCATTATTGTCAATTGATGCTGAAGCGAGTTGCAGAACTTCGGGTTGTAGCACCAACTCCGCAAACTTCTGTGAGACGCTTCAGCACGTGGCATTGAACTTACCTCGACAGTGACTCTCGTCAAGATACACCAGACATTCTTCCAAGTTCTCCACAAAGGGAGTGGCGACAAGCGGTACATTCATGCCTTTGCGATAGGCGACCATAGCACGGTGAGTGGTGTCGAAATAGACCGCGGCCTTTGCGGCTGTGTCGATGTCCAGCCATGCTTTAACAAGACCAAGATTGCTGTGCTCGAGAATCTGTGCACCAGCGTCGATGAGAATTCGAATGCGTGAATGGGGTTCCGCTAGAGTGCCAGGTTGCAACAATTTGCGCAGTAGATCAGTTTCGCTGAGACGACGCTTGGATTCAGGGTCCACCATGCGCACGTAGCGCCTGTTGCGATCTTCAAGTAGATAGCTCAGAACTTCAGCATTGCTGTGCGCCAGTTGCAGGAGGTCATTCTGCTTGATCGCCATGGGCAGCTGATGTCGCGTGTCGTTGGTGCCGGAGAACCCCGTCGTGGCTGCGTTACCACAGCGCATAGGATCATAAAGGACCAGATCGGAGCCTGATGCCGACAGTTTGTCGCTGAATTGCTTTGCGTGCTGTGGGAACACGAAGCTATTCATGAAGGAGTCAAGCAGGCACACCTTGTACCTGCTATTGGTTAGCAAAAGAACGATATCCGGAAGCTTTCCGGCCATCATCAAACACTTACTTGACATGCTGATGCAGCTCGCTCAACTGCTGGCTGTCCTCTACATTTATGCCGTTGTAGTTCTTGAACGCTTCAGGCACACCCTCCGCAACCCACATACCATACTCAATACTGGGTTCATTTGACTTTGCAAGCTGGTTGAATGCTCGCTTGAATTGCGCCATACTGAGACCTTCATAGTAGAATGACAGGCAGGTGAGTATGATGGCGACATCCGGATGGCCCCACTCCGAGGTGGGTGACGGGACACCTTTGGCCTGATACGAATTAGTAGAGAGCTGTGAGGATAGCCAAGCTGCATTAAGCTCATGGTACGGAGCAAACGTACCTGGTAAGGCACTGCTATCGGATCCCGTGTTGGATGCAGGCCGTATTGCACATTCCAGCGCTTCTTCAAAGTCGAAAGCAAGATGCCATACACTAGGAGGCCCCGCAAATGAAGGACTACGTGCACCAAATGTTGCTTCTCCCCGAACATTGCCATGACCCTGGAAGTGATTGCGGCATCGACTAGGGGCTCGGTGATGAAGGAGCGAATGTCCTGTTGCGCACGCCGCGAAAGGTGGCGCAGCGGTAAAATCGATGTCTGGCCTCTGCAGATCTTTTGTACCATTTGATCAAGCAGGTACACCTCAACGTCATCACGCAGGAAGTAGAACAGCGAAACACCTGTCCTCCTGACTACCTCGATGCTGTGGGGAAACCTGTTCACTAGGTCATCCAGATAAGAGAAGACAAGGTCTAGCAATGCTTGAATGGTTTGCCAACGTAAGGGATGCCCGTCAACAGTATGCTGTGACCCAGACGGATAGATTAGCTGCGTACGGATGCCAAGGGTGACATCGCATTCGTCGAGTACATCTCTGGCATGCCGATCGAAGCGGTCCTGAATCTTGATCATGACGGCGGACTCATCGACCTTGCCATCGCACAGGCGCTGGATGCCGCTGAGTTTGAAGGACAGGATGTGCTCTGGCAATGCTAGTACGATGCCATTCCGCAGTTGAACCTCGTTGTGCAGACAACCGTAAGCGTGCATCAGCTGTTGATCTGTGGGAGTTCTGCGTGAAAATGGTACGTGCAATACCTCGCGGTCCAAAAGACTGCCCAGCTTAGCTTGCAGAATCTGAGCCGACTGTAGCAAAAGCGGCCGGGGTACTATGATTCGGAAAAGATTATCGGTCGCAAGTTCGAGTGCAACCATTGCTGGAAAGAGTGTTAGCACACACAAATGAGGGGTTGAGAGGCAGTCTTACGAAGAATGCAAGAAGTTTTGCCTTTGCCCATCAACAGCTGCGTCACCGAGTTCTCGCCAGACTGAGGAGATATTGTCGCGAGCGCCACGTCAACCTGCTCTGGGCGAAGCATGATATCATTGTCGATCTCCAGAATGAGCCAATCAACATGGTCCTCAGGCTTCCAATTCGTGTGACCAGCGTTGACACGTTCCTCGGACAGCTGCTGGCTGCGACCGTTCGAACTAGCCCTCTGGATACGTAACAAGCGCTGATACCTCGTGATGGCTAGCCCCAGGTCGATGAGCGTCTTCTTTACACCAACGCCGAAACGTGCTCCTGAAGTACTACGCAGCTCTGATAGCAGAGTACGAATCGTCACCCTCGGCCACAGGCCGACCAAATCGAGCCACTTTGCTGGCGCGTCCTGTCGACGCAATGCACCACGCATCTGCTCAATGATCATCCGCCAGGTTCTATCCGCGGTAACCAAATTTTCGGCCAACTTGGTGGGATTGAAAGGCTCTTGGGGGGGATTTGGATGGTTGAGACGCTTCACCAGCGCTTTGATACTGTCTTGCAGCTCAACACCATATCGTCTGTGGACCATGGAAGTTGAAGACTCATATGGTGCGACGAGTTGCGAGAGTTCCCCAACGGGTTTCGAAACATATGAGTTGGCCGGAAGAAGCTGCATCACGTTAAACACCCTGGGCTTCTTGAAGGGCTCAACGTAGTCGACTTCTCTGCTCTTAGCCGAGATGAAGGAAATATCTTTCGTCAAGACATCCTTGAGGAGCAGAGTCCCACCGCCCCCCATGGTTGACGGATACAGAGAGGATGGCGAAACATCAAATCGAGACTCAGTCTGATGCTCGGCTTGACTCAACTCTGGGTACGATGAAAGAACTGTTTGGAGCTCGACAAGGTGATCAGAGAAATCGTCGTTGTCAACCAACCTGTTCCACTCTGGCCGCACGAGCGCCAAGGCTTCTTCACGATCAAGCAAGCTATCGTTGACCGTTGTCAGGAGAAGACGGTCAAGGTCTTTGGATGGCCATAGGGCAACAATGGATGTTGCAAGCGTCCTGCATGCGTCCGTGGCATCCGTGTTGTGCCGCAACTCGAGATTCAAAACCCTGCTTGGTTTGGCCTTGACATTCGCGACGTATGGCTGCTTTGCATCCTCCATTAATTCCATGAGGCGATCCACGGTGGGCATTTCGTGAGATACAAAACGATTGTATGAAGGGCTCTTCGGAAGTCGCAATACTCTCAGGTCGTGAAGAAGAGCGAATGAAAGCGCACCTCGCAGTAACTGCATGTTCGCAGTGGGAGAGAACGCCAACAAGCAGAATAAAAACGTCAAGTGAAACTTCTTGTTGTTGGAGCATTTCAGGGCAGTGATAACCAGAGGTCCCCAGTGCAGCACCTGATCTGCTTCCAGGATATCCGTGATCTGAATCATGTCGAATCGCTTCACGTAGCCACCAATGACCGACGTGTTTTCGAACAGTCTCGCTAGCTGCACATTGCGTACAGCTTCGTGGGTCGAGACAAAAAGGACCTTTGCCAAGCTGATAACGTGTTCGCGTTGGGTTCCAACAAGACGACCGTCTCTTCGCAGGTAAGCCTGGGCATGCTTGGATGTGCTGCCAGGGACCCGTGATAGAGCTCGATTTTCCAGGTGATCATGACCGGCACCGGTTGGACTTCGATCAACAGACTCGAACGGCGGTGAGAACTTCTGAAGTTGCGCGTTCCTCAATAGAATGTCGTTGACAGCTCGGCGGTACCTGTCATCCTGCATGTACACCGTCGTGTCAGGATCCCAAGTCACAGACTCCATCTTCTTCATTGTCGGCGGGTAGTAGCCTCTACGGGGCGACAGCTTTGCGATCATCAAGAGCAGATCCCGCGCGCTGGGATTTAACGGCGTCCATGGGCGGTAGGCTCCGGAAGTCAGATACTGAAGAGCTTCTTCGACTCCAGTGCGACCAGTGAGCACGTCTGGTATGGGATGAGCTGTCAACGCATGCCACAATGCCCTGTAGTACAGCATAAGAGGCTCCGCAGGACATTCGATCCGCCCAAGAACGTTGTTGACTTCGAACTTCAGATACTCGCCCTTGTTCCTCACCACGATCGATACATGAGGCCCGTGCCGCTTGATGACATGGCTACCCATGGGTAGAAGGACACTGAACTGCGTGGGACTCCCTATGGATCGCATGACCAATTTGCTTCGGAGACCATGCCATGTCCCGACATCCTGGTATGCAGTTTCGGCAACAATAGCCCCTAGTTGAGGGCAGAGGAGTGACCCATTCCGATTGACAACAAAGTGTAGTTCGAGACGATGCAACTCGACCCTGATATTACTGTTTGGCGGTTGATACACGGTTATCATATTGGCAAACTCGAAGTAGGAAAAGTTTTCAGCAATGCTCCGGGCGAGCGCACAGTGAGGATCAACCAAGGTGGAGCCTGCGTTGCGTGTTGCGTTGCGTGTTGCGCGCCTAGTCTTGAGATCCAAACGCCAGTTCGAAAGCTTCGACTTGAACGGTTCTTGTTGTCGGATCTCCATGGTTTGGGCTGCGAGATCCACCCAGTGGTAGCACTTCTCGACGAGCGCAGCAGGAAGATCGTTGCTAAACAGTGATCTATCAATAAGTTCGAATACTTTGCTTTGCTGCTTTCCTCGCTGTTCAGCACGGATGACCAGTCGCTCGCCACGGAAACCTAGATGTAGCCAGTAAATGTTCGCCAGCGGCCGGCTTATGACCAAAGACATTCCCGGCATCGCCGACGGGAAGGATTTAGGGCTCTGAGACCCAAGAAGTTCTTGCAAGATCGGCGAATGCAGATACTCGGGTGGTAACATGCCCATTGGATGCCCATCGATCAGCAGCATGCCATGAAGGATATTGTAGTGCACGTGGTGTTGACTGCCTTGCTCCATGGCTAACGTCATGACAAGCCACCAAGTGTCTGGCACGATGTACGTACGGGGAGCAATCGTGACGGGAGCTGGCCAGACTGCTTCCACTGCCTCAAGCATTGCGTGGCTATCGGAAACGATAATGGTTTGAAGTTGGTGGCGAGAGCTCCAAACCAGGTAGAGATCCCGCAGGATCGCGTTCCTGAGATTGTATGGCAATGAGTTGAACTCACCCACTAGACACTCCTGAAGGGCGATCGACATTATAATGAAGTCTGCCAGAATTTGAGACGATATGTCACAGTGTGGCGCCAACAGCGAGTAGACCGTGCGCTTGTACAGCACAGCTGCCCAGATGGCGAATATTGAGGGGCCAGACTCAGCTTGGTCGCTTCCAAGGTTTTGGTTCTTGTACCATCCTGCAGCTATGGCGCGTGCTTTTCCGAGCAGTTTTGATACAACCCGGCTGATGCGAGTACTAGAGTTCATCGCATTGACCTTGAGGAGGATGCTTAACAGGATGTCAAGCTGGATTGCCTCGCGCCAATTACGCCGAATGGTTTCCAAGCGGCTGTCTACTTGCTCGAGCAGCTTGAGGCAGAAGGTAACATCGTGAAAGATCGAATGAGTGTCACGCAGGATGTCGTCGGTGGATGCGGGTCCAGCTTGCAGACAAAGCCTGGAGATGACGACCGATGTGGAAGCTGTCGAGAAATTCAAGTTCGTCGAGCCCATCTCCCTCAATAGACAGGGCCAGCGCAAGTAGGTTCCAAGCAACAGGCTCTGCCAAGCTGTGAATTCGTGAGGAGTCAGATCTTGGGGACATTGTGTCTGCGTTGCGAGGGTCACATTTGATGTGGGCCAATGCTCGCCGTCGTTTTGCAGAGAAAGGTACGGGGATCCAGTAGGCAGCTTCAAAGGGAGGAGGTGAGCAAATGAAGCGGCGCTTGCCCGAGATGTCCAGGTCCCACCCTCGGTGTCATAGTATCTCAACGACATAGCGAAGGGGTAACATATGTCTTGAAATGGTGTCGGGAATTTCGAGGTCTCCCAATGAGTCTTTGTGAACGGTTTCCCGACCGAGCCTAACGTGACTGTGCTCCTCGTCTTATTGGCGAAACGACACAATCCCTTGTGAGCGCGGAGCAGAGGCACGCCATCTCCTAAAGCTGTAACTGGTGGATGAGCCAGAGTGGATATGATCAGCCAAGTGGCGTCCCGGTACGCTGCAAACGTTGATGGACAGAGCAACTCAAAGACCAAGGCCTTGAGTTCTGGTTCTGATTCTGGAAGTGGGTGTTCATGCGTGTTGATCTTCATCTGTTTCATTTCCCAATTGAGCTTGTGAAAAGCGCACGGTGCCTTGTGGGGTCGCTTTCCGGTGCGAGCATCGATTTCAGTTCTGAAGCCTGGGCAGACGGTGGTTGGCAGTGCCAGCGTCCGCCGCATAGACTCGTGACGTGCACTTGCCTTTTCCCACTCCTCCTTCTTGGCTGTGAGTCGGTCCTCCGCATCTTTCTCAATCGCGCGCCGTAGTTCTTGTAGCTTGGACATATCGTCACATTCATCGTATGCTCGTGCGGCATATGAGTCTGCGTTCGGTGCGTCGAAAATGGTCTTTGATCCCTGACCACACCACCCACTGCAGCGTTTCGCTATGTACGATTGCACAATCTGAAGGCGGCTAAGTTCGTCTAACGTTGAGAGCTCGAGAACGTCCAGAACACGTGCATCGAAGCCTGGATGATACTGGGCGAGGAGCGGATAGCATTGAGTCGCGGCCTCGTCCATAGCCTTCCAAATTTCCATCAGAGTGAGAAGCTGACGACTTCTGAATTCCGGATACCCGTTGTACTGAGCCCCAACTTCTGCAACGTACGCTTGGATTGTATCAGCCAGCTGGAAGCATAGGGAGGAACCGTCTTGCGTCAGTGCTAAGCTTGTAGCCTCGGAGACCTTCTCCTCGTAAGCATAGAGGCAGAGGTAGCGGCTGGTGACAATTGTGATGGGCTTGTAGCCAGCAGACTTTTCGTACCGATGCAGTATCTCTTGCTGTGGGCGCACTCTGTTCTGTACAAACTTAGTGCATGACTGTACCGCTCTATCCAGCACTAGTCCGCTGTGCAACAGTTTCAATTCGAGGTCGCTAGCGCGTGCAGCTGGTGGGATATGGTGGATGATGCGCCGTATCTGCTTGGTGTAGGAGTCCCACTGTGATTTCAAGCTCTTTGTAGCAAAGAGCAGTTTGTCCGTGAACAGACGTCCCAAGGTGGAGAAGATCTGGTGATGCGTAACTCTAGCTAGTTTGGCACCTGCGGCATAGCTCTGCTCGAGCTTCGCAAGACGAGAACCGAGCTTCTGGCTCAGAAGATACGAAGCGTCATTCGGGATGGCGTGCAGTCCGTCAATCAGCAAGTTTGAGAGAAACATGCACATGATTGTCTTGAAGTAGACTCTACCCTTCTCTGGGCCAAATAGCTTGTACAGATGACGTTGTATACCGACTCGAAGGACGAGGTAGAAGGGCGAGCGGCGCCAAGGCTTGAATGCCTTGTGGAAAGATACGGTATCGCGCACACGCTTGCGAAGACCGAGCGTGTCGTGGTACGCGCCGCTAGCTTCCAGTATAGCCATGAGCCACCCGGTCACGAGTGTAGGATTTGGTGTGTCGCGCACTTCTGTGATGGATGCAGAAGCTTTGGTGGTGACAGCCGCAAACTGCTTGATGGTCTCGAGGCTGCTCTGCTCCAGGAATGCCACCAAAGTTTGTCGGAAGTCCTCGTCCAGAAAAGTTTCGTGGGGTATCGCTATAGCCTGGCCGGGAAAATCCCACTGCAGTGCACCATCGGATGCAAGAACTTCTTCGCTAGTTGCCGAAGTCTCGAATGCCTCGAAGATTATTGACTTGCGCCCATCGTTGCCACTGTGCATTTTGCGTTAGCAGCGCATGCAATAGTCAACCCTTGAAAACTTACCTTGAGTGTGGGTGGATTAGCAATGCAGCATTCTGCTCCGTCACATGAAGTATCAGAGCGTGTCTGCCTTCGAGCTGCCATAACTCCCTCGCGAGTGCATGCTTGTCAATCCTTCCATCAACGTTGAGCGTCAGGCACGACGAAAGGGCAAGCCGAACTGCATGTAGACCCGCATGGTCATCCAAAGGTGCGTGTGGAATGATTTGTTTGACGGCATCGCACAGGCGCCGTGCGAGCTCGGTGCCGAGCTGGTGCAGATTAGGATCCTCTTGGCCTGGAACATCGCGCGGAAGTACGACGTGGTTATAAAGTTGGTGCAGAAGCGCGTCACGCCCAGGGTCGGCCATAACTGCCGCTGGCCCTTTCGCTGGCGCGCGCTTGACGCCGATTGATTCCTATCAAATATAGATGGGATACGTCGGCGTGCGATTACGGGAGAGGAAGTGGATGTGTGTGCGGATTTTGTTGCGGGCAGGCAGAAGTTTGCGGCGTAGTGAAAACGCGCGTTGGCAAACGTAGGCGGTCTCGGCATAACATTGATTCGCCATGCCAGGCATTCCGGGGCCTCCAACAGACCGGCTCGACACAACACGTGTCGCCATGGCGTCCAGTGAACCATCATTTCGACATTGTGCCCGGGCGCAGGCCAGACCGGTGGTCAAGCTCTCGCTGTAGGCGCCGCATCGATGTAGCGCTGCCGTGTGTGAGCTAGACTTGTTAAGCCCAGAGATAAGGTGCATCATGGACCGGTGTCAAAGATGATGTGGGAAGAAAGGAGCACCTTGCCGTGTCGCTACAAACAGGTGGGCAGCATGGAGAGATGATTGGAAGTAAGAGTAAGATAGAACACGAAGAGGATGGAGAAGAGAGAAGAAGAGTGGAGCGACAGTAGAAGACGAGAGCGGACGGTAAAGAAGTAGCGTCTCCCTCCGTTTACTTTCGATGACCTTTACCTGCCATAACCGACAACAGCGGTCAGGCCAACGACATGGCCGGACATGTGCCAATTACCCTGTGCAGTGGAGAAGCACTGTTTGTGCCCCTGGGTGCGCACTCACCGTCCAGGTCGATTGGCAACGATTCAAAGCGTTGTCTCAGCGCTGAAGTCAATGCAGTCCTGCTCAGCCATCAATGTAGCTGTAATGCACTTATCACTAGGTTCACGTGATGTCAATGAGATGGAACGCAATCGCTGGCATCAGGGGCGTGGCATTGGCGATGGAAAGCGGTAGATGTGTGAAGAGTGATATTGTGAAGTTTGAGGGCGCTCACTGAGGTGGGGCGCTCACTGATAAAACAGGTTAATAATAATAATAATTACTATTGAGAAGCTGGCACTATTAGTAGTAGTATGACTACCTAATAGAGCGCTCTCTAAGGCACAACGGTAGTGGTGGTACAGATTCGTATTGTATTGACTAAGGAGCTATTCACACGTTCGTAGATCCGTGTTGCGTGCAGCTGCGTCCAAGCTCCCCGCTAGGACCCACCTGCACGTGTCACCAATCATGTGACTACTCCTCCGCTTGATACCACCAAGTCACTTACGGACTGTATTCTCAACAATTACCATATAAAGACAACAACCTCAGCAGACGGGCTCACCCTTGGCCGGAACAACAACCGACCGCACGCGCCAGCTTGGATGAGGTCAACTGGGCTTAGTGCCGCTGACTGGGCGGTGATTACCGAGTATATCGACTTACTCAAACCTCTCAAAGTATCTACTGAGCGGCTCGAGGGCCGTGGCAAGTCTGGTAAGTATGGTGCAATATATGAGATTATACCTGTCTTCGAGTACCTCCTGGGTGCGCTTGAAAGTCGCTACAGGCAATACGAACACGTCAACTTCGATGCCCACCATGAGGCGCCTGAGGACCACCTCGCAGACTTCTCAATGAACAAGCTGAACAAGCCAACAGCTCCGGCTTGGCTTGATAGAACATTTTTGTGTTGAGGCTTGGCTTGGTAGGCTTATTTAGAGTGGAGGCTTGGTTGGCTTGGTCGGCTTGTTCAGCTTGGTGTATTTTTGTTATCTTTAGCTACTAATTTCCCAATTAAGTAGTTGGTATACGTGTCAATATACTCGTCAGATAGCTTGCCTCTGCAAAAATCATCGTCCCCAAATCCAGCCCGTTGCCAGCGACGTATACATAGCATGGCGGCCAGCAACTGGGGCCCAAGTTTCCTTCTCCGCGGTTCTAATAGATCACCAAGCTCACTAAACATGCGCTCGCAGTCGCAGCTTGAAGCAGGTATTGACAATACATCTATCGCAAGCCTGCTGAGGTTCGGATATTGATCGCGCAAAGCTACCCAGTATTCTACTGGGTTATTGGCGTCGTGACTACCGTCTGCGGCGATTGGCTCGCCCTGCTTCCATCGTTGATACTCGTCCATCTCGCTGTTAGTTGTAGGCAAATGCTCAGGATTAATATAGCTGTTAATAACGTCATCGATCTCGTTTGAGCGGTGGGCGGCGGTAGGTATCGTAGTTGTAGGCGTTGCGCGCGGCGTGTTGTATTGAGCCCATAGTTGGAGAAAAGCCTGGTTATTGCTATAAAGCCACGCTGGCTTATCCGCCCAAAGGACGTCACAAAGCTTCTTGTAGCGCGGATGGAGTATAGTAGCTGCGTAGTATGCTGGCGAGTCGTCAAGTTTGCTGTAGTACTCGCAGAGCTTCGTCCGTGCAGCTCTCAAATTGATCTCCAAATGGTCCTCTGGCGCCTCATTGTGAGCTTTGTAATCCACCGCCTCGTACGTAGCAACACGATCCTCGTATTCCTTTAAAAGATACTCAAAGACAGGGATTACTTCAGCAATTGCTCCATAGGCACCAGAAGCGCCGCGGCCCTCTGATCGCTTTGTAGCTGCCTTTAGCGGTTTGAGAGCAGCTAGATACTCAGTAACAACACCCCAATCGGCAGCGGTGAGTCCATTTGACCTCATCCAGTTAGGAGCATCAGCTAGCTTATTGCCTCGGGCTTGAGCTATCGCGTCGCTGTCCTGAAGGTGTGTAATGTGATGAGCGGCGTAGAGGTTGATTGCAGCCTGTAGACTAATAGCACGCTCAAAAGCAGAATAAAAAGAATTCCACCGGGTAACAACTGGCTTAACAACCTCCCGGAGCTTGCAATCGTCGTCAATGGCGTCTGGGTGTAGATCGCGGTGAGCTTCAAGCTGACAGCGATTGAAAAGCTCAACTTGCTGCGGCGTTTTGATATAAGCGATGATCTGAAGGAGCACTCCAAGAGTTCCCTCATGCCGCCACTCCTCCATAAACTTATCCTCGTTAACAAGCTCAGCAGATAGAGCGTTGTCGTACGCTTTGTTGTCTTTGCCCCAAAGGAGCATTTGGCCAACAAGATTAATTGTATGAGGACCACAGCGAAGGCGACATTCAACTGCGTCAAAGCCAACTCGACGAGCAAGCGACTGTATAGCTGTATCATTGTTTGACGCGTTGTCAGTAATAAACCAGCCAATTTTAGTGCTAGCAACGCCAAACTCTAATAGAGTTTTATATATAACGTCGGCGAGGCTCTCACCGCTATGAGCCCCCATTAACTGCGGTAATGCAATAGGCAGATCAACTAGCTTGCCGTGAGTGTTAACAAAGTGAGCAATGATGCCAAGGTAGCCACGCTTGCCGCCTTTTGTCGTCCATCCGTCAAAGCTTATATGGATCTTGCTTAGTGATTGCGACAGAGCTTGGACAATCCGCGGCTTTGAGGTTGATCGCGAGGTGGCCCACCTCGCGATCAACCTCAAAGCCGCCTGGGTCAAGGCCAACAGCTACTACCTTAAGCTCGACAATTCCCTAGTATACTACGCCGCCTGCTGCCTCCATCCGCGATAAAAACACTATTGCAAGAACAGCTGGGCTGACCAAGAGGGGTGGATTGAAACGAACGAGGCTGCCCTTAAGCAGCTCTGGGGCAAGGTTGTCAGTAATCAATATCTCATCAATATTGTTGTTTGATTTGTTTGATTCGGAGCCAACCAACTAACCAACAGTTAGCCACTGTATTTCTGTCAATCAATCAACCAATCTTGAGAACAAAATGTTGATAGGATTGGTGTTGTTTGATAGTAAGCGAGGGAAGGGGATACCCTAGGTGAGGCCTCTGAGATAGCTGCTCAACGACGAATTCTTAGTGTTGGATCTTGCTTACTAAGCCTACTCGCGTGTAAGTTTGTCAGATTGAGGCGAGGTTTTGCTCCATGATCGAGCCGATGGTGGTTGGGGAAGGACATGAGACCCCCAAACCAGGGCTAGCGCCGGGACTTAGCACTGCCAAGCCCGAGGCGAGGCCACCTCCCACAGACAGAGCCGTAGACAGAGACAGACAATACACTTGATCCCATCCATAAAAATCTGACAAAGTTATATGACCTAGGTTCCATCCCATCTCTCACTCACTCCAGGCTAGTACGTACGAGGCTTAGCGCCCACAACGCTAGCTGGCAGAGACATAGATCTCAATTCCTGTAGCACAATACACAACACGATTCACACATGTTCCATTCCTAGTGCTACTGACATCAGGCTTATAACATTTAACAACACCTTACTTTCTCGCGGCTCCGGCTTACTTTTAGCCTTATCCATGCCCTCTATACCAGCAAAACGCAAGCCCGAGGCTGCCGAAGAAGCTGATACTCCCTTCAAGCGAGCACAACGTACGCGCAAACCTACGCTCAAGGCGCTGTTGGGTGACGGCAGCCAGCCAACCCAGCCGATAGAGCTGCCAGAAAGTACGCCGGATCCGCCTACAGAGCCGCCTACAGAAGTTATCGAGCCGCCCACACGGGCTATTGAACCGCCATGTAAGCCTGTACAACAACCCGAGGAGCGCCCTCGGCGGGCATCACCACTGCCTATTTTGGCTGCCTCACAAGCCTCTCGGCTCACTGATGAGCCAGCCTGGGAGTCGCAGTTAATGTTTGATAAGCCAGAGGACTCTATTGTACAGCCTTTAGCTTTCTCTAGCGCTGCCACTGAGGCTTCGGTGGAGGAGGATAGCGCTGTGAGCGTCGATTTTCGCGACTTTGAGGGCGTCGATTGGTCGCGATTAAAGGGGTTTGTCGCGCCGCTGAGCACTCCACGAGGCAAGGCAAGCTGGATTTTTCAACACGGCTGGCGTGTCTGGAAGGAGGGTACTCACCACCCAGATGAGTTGTACTTTGTGTGCAAGTACTGTCATATTCATAAGCTACCTAATGGTGTACACCGAGTAACGAAGTCAACCACTGCCGCCAACGGGCACCTCCAGCTTGATAAACCTGGTCATCGGCTCAGCAAAGACGGTCCAATCCTAAGCAAACCTCTCCGCAAACATGGACAACAATCACTTCGTCAGGCAGCTCTAAGCGGTGTCAAATTTAGTCTAGAGGCGTACAAGACTATAGGAAACTTCGACGTACAAGAATTTCGGCAAGCAGCTGCGCTCTGGCTGGTCGACAACAACAGACCACTCCGCGAGTTTGAGACGCCGGCTTTTCGCAAGATGATCAGGCTTGCTAATCCTGAGGCAGAGGCGGCGTTATGGAGGTCTCATAACAGCGTGTCAGCGTTCGTGATGAGGTTGTACAGTTGGCTACGACCTCAGGTGGTGCGCGCGTTGGCTGAAGCCGAGAGCAAGGTACATATAAGCTTCGATGGGTGGACGACAAAAGGCGGCAAACGTGGCTTCTTTTCTGTAGTTGCTCACTACGCCAACAGTAAGGGCGCGATAGTTGACCTACCCATCGCGCTGCCGCAGCTGGTGGGTGCCCACACTGGTGAGGCGATAGCTGACGCTGTAACCAAAATCCCTGCAATCCTTCAGCATCAATCGCAGCAAACTCGGCTACTTTGTGCTCGATAACGCTTACAATAACGACACCGCTGTTAACAAACTCGCCGCGATGTACCACTTTTCTGCCTCCGATCGCCGCCTCCGCTGCGCTTGCCACATACTTAACCTTGTTGGCCAAACGATTATGTTCGGGAGGGATGCTGACGCGTATAACAACGCCCTGGAGAACACAAAGATGGAGGATTTTTACATGAAGGAGTGGCGGAAAGAAGGACCGCTTGGCGTGTATCTTGATATTATCAACTACATCAACCCGCCGAAGCAGTGGAGCATTTTTGAAGATTGCCAACGCGAGGCAGTTAACAGCATGCCCACAGGCGCCAGCGGCGGCACTCGCGAGCCAATTAAGCCGTGTGTTACACGTTGGAACAGCTATTACGACTGCTTTAAGCGCGGAGTTCAGCTCCAACAAGCTATCAACGCATACGCCACGTACCACATTCGCGAGACTGAACAGGCTGACGAACAGGCAGCTATTAGAGGAAACAAGCTGCCTGATGTGCCGCGGTGGATGAGGTCAGACGGCCTTACGGCGGCTGACTGGGCGGTGATTACTGAGTACATGGCGATACTGCAGCCGCTCAAGTTTGCTACAGATCGCCTCCAAGGCCGCGGCAAGTGTGGCCGTTTTGGCGCACTCTACGAGGTCATCCCAGTATTTGAGAGTGTGATAACTGAGCTGGATGCACGCCTTCGGCCATACGAATCGGTCAACCACGAGCCATCTGAGGCGCCCGAAAATCACATCCCGATCAACCTGCGAGCCGCGAGGCGAAAAGCGAGCAATTACTTTACTAAGATCCTCCAAAGTCCCATTTACTACGCAGCTACGGCACTATATCCACGATATAAAACATACTCTAAGCGCTTCTGGCGCAACAAACCTACACAATTGAGCACCGCGCACGCGAAGTTTCTGCGGGTTTGGGCTGCCTACAAGCCTGCCGCTGCTGCCACAACACCAACCCCTGCGCCAAAACCTACCATGAGCAGCTTTGACGACGCTATCGACGCTATACTAGATGAGGACGGCGAGCATACAATGGAGGTGGAGGATGAGTACGATAGCTGGTTAAAAGAGCCTATATGGACGTCTGATCAACACAAGGAGGGTCCAACAGCTGTACAGTACTGGTTATCGTTGAAGCCGAAGTATCCACATCTTTCACGATTGGCGATCGACGTGTTGACTATACCCGCCTCCAGCTCTGATTGTGAGCGCGTTTTTGCGGGAACTGGCGATATAATTGAGCCACAAAGGCGGAAAATTGGCGCGCAGTTACTGGCTGCTTTGGTGTGCTTGCAACGGTGGACTCGTGCAGGTTTTACAACACCAAGCACGACAACAGCAGCAAAGCATACTGATGAGGAGCTCACGGAAGAGTTTGCGATAGGAACGTGGGAAGAGCCGCCTGCAGAATTGTCATAGAAACGTCCCTTCAGAACCTTAAGTCTATCAATATTCAATCAATCAAGCAACCAAAAATTGGCTCTTCAGTCTCATCAACTCAAACAAACAAACTGTAACCCTAAGAAATGAGCTAATCAATCAACATCTACGCCTCAAATGTTGGTTGTTTTGTTTGTTGACTTCTCTGGTTGGCTGACATATTGTAAATTGCTTAGGCAGGAAGGCCTTCTGTCCAGTCGTCGCAACTCTCCGCTACGGTATCTCCTTTCGAAAGGATCATTACCATCAGCCTTTAGAGCAATCTGAAATGACTATAGTTACATCTCGTGTTGCAGCCAACAAAGGCTTTTATTGCAGCAGCAACGTACCGGGGCTAACCATTGTGTCCAATAAACACACCGAAATCTAGCGATACTCCCAGTTATTCGTCTTCGAACAAATACCTCGCTTGTAGCCCTCGCAGAGCGTAGGTAGGTACCTACCGGTACCGCGGGCCCGCAAGTTAGACGCGGCTACAACCGCAACTTGCGACAATTCCCTTCACCTAAGACGTCAGAAAACATGTTACAGGCATTATATTGTGATTATTTGCAGCTACGTCGGTGGCACAAGCAGAAGCCGGAGTCCTAGTGCCAAACTTCAATCCTCGCGCAGTCCTCGTCCAAGGCCACAATCGCCCCTTGCCCTGTGTCTTACAACGTGCACTATGTGTCCTACTTCGACTAATCTTCACCAGTTAGGTCAATCACCGCATATTCCTCCTGGTTCTTGTCGGCATCACCAGTCTTGCGCGACTGGATCGTGGTCAAGAAGGTTTGCTTAGCCTTTGTGCGGGCTGCAATCCTGTCGTCGATGGTGCGATACTTTAACTCACTATCATGCGTGATGAGCCAGTTGACAAATACCTCGTCGTGCTGTTGGCCGACACGGAACTGACGATTCGCCACTTGCTGCGCATCGTGAATGCTGAGTGGAAGGTCGAGGCCTTCGAGGACGTGGCCCTCTACGAGTGTTACGGACTGACTTATAACGCGTAGCCCCGCCACCAGAATGAAGACGTCGTCATCAGCCCGGTCAGTGCTAGGGTCGTAGAATGTCCTCCACTGTGCAAGGCTCTTGGCTCGATTTGAGCTACCGGAAGCCATGCACACATGCCTGTCTTGGAAGGTCTGGCAGAGATAAGTCCATAGCAGAGCACGCGCGAGACGCATACTCGTTACGACGATGTACTTGCTCTTGTAGTGAAACTTTTCTCCCTGTTTCGCTCGCTGTAGTATGGGGTGGGTAACTTCGGAGCGCTCTTTCCGCAACTGGTTGATATAGTCCTTGATGTGTTTGATCTTGGCCGATCCCTTGCATGCGTTCTTAGCGATTCGCCAGATGAATGAGTCCCTTATCGACTGCTCTGAAACCAGTGCGCTCTGCAGGGCCTTGTTGTCCTTTCCGAGCGTGCGGCCTTTGGCGAAGACGGCGGCTTCGGGGTTGGCTTTGTCCCAAGCATCGATGGCATTGAGTAAATTGGGGAAACAGCTTACAAGACGTGCAATCGTGTAGGCGGCAGGATTCGCTCGTTGCATGTTCACCTTGCTAGGCTTAGGGATGGTGGGGTCGTCTAGTTGCTCCCATGCGTCCAGATCGTCCTTGTACTTTTGCTTGACGGCAGCCTGCACGGCGTTCTCGGCCTTCTTTACCTCATTAAACCAGCGGGGTTCGTGTGTTATGTTGAGATATTGGATGGTGTGCTTCGCGTCAACGATGTTCAGCTGATTGCCCCAGGGGTCCTTGCTCGCGTAGTCACGGCCAATACAAAACCATTCAAGCAAGGCGGCAAAGCCGGAGAACATCTTGTCTACCTTGGGGTCTTCTAGCGCGCCGTTCATCTTTGCAATTGGACTGATCTCGTCGGCGTCCTTGTGGTTGACCTGTGATGTGAAGATCTTGAGCACCGTTTGCCATGCAATTTGGTATTCTCTGGAATGCTGGGAACAGAGACTAGCCATCAAGCGAGCGCCCTCATCTTTAGACTTCCGGTCGACAAGTCTAGCGATGACCTTGTCCGCGAAAGTGAGGACCAAGTCAATGCCGTTGGCTAGAGCCGTACCGCTGATGCCTACGATGCCTGGCCGATGCGACTTGGGGCGTGTCTCGAGGAAGTAGTCCACAATCTGTGTATAGATGATGGTGTTTGCAGAGCCAGCGGCATGAAGCTCGTCGATCCAGATCCAGCCGGCGAAGCCAATGTCGATAACGTAGATCATAGTCCTCATTTTCCCCCCAGGGCCCTTGGATATACATCTTCGGAGCGCTTGCAGAGGCCCACTACCGTCCGGAAATCCGTTTAAAGCGCGCATCCAATTGTTCTTGTGCCTTTGTATCGCAGTCTTGGCGTTTGCAATCTTCTTCGTCGCATGGGGGGACTTCATCTCCAAGTCGTCGAGTGTCTTCTGTAGCGCTTTGAACTCGGCCTTGTTTTCTTCAACTCGTGAAAAGTTTTTAGATATATTTTTGGTCCAGCATCCGCTCGTAGAGACAATCAGATATCTGGTGCTACTCGGGGCAGGGGCTTCTACAGTTGCGCCTTCGTAGCAGGGGACCTCCTCTGTTTCCCACTCCTCCTCCCACTGTTCCTCATTACTCTCATAACCAGGGCAGTGGTAGGCACGGCGAACTCTGGGGCTATCCCAATCGGGCCGGGGATTCACCTCGTTCCAATCCGCCTGAGCCATTTTGTAAAAGATGCCATTTTTCTCTCCGCCTAAGCTCTCTGCAATCTTCTTTCCCTCAGGGTGGAGAATGACCAATTTAGGTCTGAATACTTTGTTCTCGCGAAGAAATTTGCTGTCGGCAAATATCTTGGCAAACGCCTCTGGAATAGCGGCGATACCCTGCGCGCTAGCTTGGAGAAAAGTGGCGCCAATCTGGGGTTTGATGTCGAAGAAGCGGTCGTCGTGGAGAGGAGGGAACTCGTTTGCTTTTGTCGTTCCGTGGATCTTCGCCACCGCTGCAAGATTAATGTAGTATGCCATGACGCATGCAATGGACTTGCCCAGGCCCATCTTGTCTATGAGTAGGGCACCTCCCCGAGGCCCTTGAGCGGTGCGGATGAGCTCAACGCTGCCCACCATCTGAAGCGGCATTGGTTCAAAGTCGGGGTTCAATCCCACTTTTGGAGAAAGATGAACGCGACATTCGCCACCTTTGAGCTGGAGCTTTTGGAGTGGGGTTAGGAATGTATCGGCAGCTCGTTGCCATTCTTCTATACCCATCTTCTGGGCCTTTTCATGTGCAGTGCCAGCAGCAGAGAGCCTTTCTCGTGCGAATGCCGCCGCCGCGTCCCTGGCCGCAGTATTATCATGTTGCTCTTGGTCTGCGTCTCCGGTGTCATCTTCATCGTATTCGTCATCTTCATCGAATCCAGGAATGATATCGTCGTCGTAGTCGTCTCCCAGTTGGTCGAGCCAAGTCGGATCGTTGATAGCCGTCCACTGCGAGGACTGGGGAGCTGGCAAACCTAACGTTTGCTCTTCCTGTGTAACTTGCGTGCGAGTGTCGTCACTGGCTGCAACTTGCGAGACTTGGGGTGGCAACGTGGCGAGCTCTTGTGCATCTAACTGGGCGTCGTCATCGTGGGTGGGAGGTGGCGCATCTCTATTAGCCGTAGCCTTATATTGGGGTAGCTCTGCCGCTGCGTTGTTGGCTTCTGGACTGGGAGCTTTGGAGCCATGGCGGGTATCATAAGAGTCTCTATCTTCTCGCTCTGAGATACTGCGCTCGGAAGCTAGATCGTCTCGATGCGCAACCTGCCTCTCGTTACCGGCAACTGGCTGGGACTGGTTCGCCTGAATCTTGTCGCCCTTGATGTCTTCGAGCTTTGGTGAATTATAGTTCGAGCGTTGCGATGCATCTTCGTTGTGTCGAGTGTCTTGCTCGATGCTAGCTATGGCGCTTGTGTCACTTTCGTGTAGCGTGATTGGTTTGGTGACAACGAATGTGGTTAGGTACACTGTGGATCCTCTCCTAAAGTCTGCGAGGGCCGTTTTCATTTGTCCTGAAGTTCTAACAGCAACTTCCTGTCTAGGTCGAGGCGAGAAGAACAGCTCTGGATAACGGGCGCTGCTGTCGTAAAGGAAAGTTTTGCGGTCGACATCGCTCACCGAGTCAGCCTCTTCTAGGAGTGCTGACCACTGGATACGCCCGCTCGTACTGGAACCGGTTAGAGCATCGCCAGTGACTTCAGCCAAGGTCTTCACAATTCCGCCGTTTTGAACTGCGCACAGTGCAATTCTCAGCGTAAGGTCATCTGGTTTAATGAAAGGGTCAGGCGCAAGGATACCAGGAAGGCTGCCAGAGAAGTTGCCGAGAGAGCCATGTCCGCCGAAGCCATGGGGCATGCCGCTATAATTGCCGTTGGACATGGCGTCGTTGTTACCAGGGAAAATGGTCATAGGCTGTGAGCTGAGCCCCAACGTTGGAGTGCGTGACATCGAGCGCTTGGCTATCCGCAGTGTAAAGCTATTGTCATCGCTGGAGTCCTGATCTGTTCGACCTGAGGGCTTCTTCCGCTTGTGTTGACTAGGTTTGCGGGAGGGCAAGGTCTGGCGCTTGACTGCAGTCTTCGCATCTCTTTCGGCCTTGCGCTGGGCTGCACGCACTAGGCGCAAGTTGGAATCGGTTATTAGTTTAGAAATGGCTTTTGTCTTCCATGGTTCGGGTGCGTCAGGAACTAGAGGCAGCGCGTCGAAGACTTGCTGTCCGTAACCAGCTCTTTCGGCTTTGCTCATCCTGCTCATCCTGCTCATCCTGCTCATCCCCAATTGAGGGTTCGGTTTACCGAAATCAGCGTGGAGGGTCGGGAGAAGACTATCAAACTTGTTCATGAATTCAGTCTGCAAGGTGTCGTTGTTGGCAATGCCGAAGCCCTTGAAAACCTCCGTTTGGGTCTCAGGATTAACGTGATCGTAGGCGTAGGTGTCAGCGACAGGATTAGGGGGCCTGGTCACCACGGGGACCGGCGCACTGTTCGCCATCGCGATCGCTCGCGCTGGAGGGGGGTTGTCGAGTAAGTAATCTTGCTATGGCGTGTCGCAAGTTGAAGAGACGTGCGTAGGTGGGCGCAACTTTCGTGTTGTTGCTGCGCGCGCGCGCAAACGACGCGTTGCCAAGCGGTGATTGGTGAGCCCATGACGGCGGAGTGGTGAACGGTGAGGAGTTCCCAAAACGGACTGCGAAGACCAGCGTGCAGTTAGCAACGGCGTATTCACCAAGACTATGGGCCCAGGCTCCGGGTGATGGAAGGCAAGACACAGTCAACGGCAGGTTTTGAAATAGTATAGATAGCGACGGCAAGTGTGTCACCATAGCGGTCCACTCACCTCGTCGGCATGCTAACGGTGCGCTCAGTTCTTTCATGGGTCTAGCCATAACTATACCTAGGTAGTCGACTACCAGTGTCATCCCGCATGACCAACCACGCTAACGAAGACCCGAAGTACAATCGAGCCATCCCCATCTCCACGCCCCCCACCAAACCAGAGCCCTGGTAAAGTTGACGACCAGGACAAATCGAGTGAACTGGAAGTGTGGATTCTTATAGCTGGAATGGACGGCTACAGCGGTCAGAGCTCTGCTCACGGTTTCGATGGTAGGGGTGCAAGTGGTTGTTAGGTGCATGGTCAACGCGTTTGAGGAGGCCGAGGCGGACAAGAAGCGCAAGACGTACAACCATAACTATGCCGCTCGCTGCGAGGATGAAGACGAAGGCAGACGGAAAATTACCATAAATATGCCTTGCCGTAGTTGGATGGAAGTGCTTCTGCCGGCAAGTAAAAGACTAGAGGTGAAGATCGCGCCACAAAATTGATTTAGACACTGCAGCCGCGTTGGCAAAGACGAAGGTATGCACCAACCACGTATGTTCTTCGTCTCTGCGCTCAGATCCTGAGTTCTTGTGGGTCTCCAGTTGCTTGCGTGAGAGTGCTTGATTGAAGCCGATGCCAACACCACAGTCTACGCGCTAGTTTAGATCGCGATAGCGCGCCAAATGTTTGAGAAGGGGATATAATAAGCAGCTATAGGCAAGAGAATGAGAGAGACGACAATCATCTTCGTAAAGAGTGGTTGCGGGGGGAAGTGCATAAAACTCATAGCGAGGCTAAACAACCTGGGAAACAATCTCAGCCACCGGTATGAGCAGACAAGAAAGATGGAAGATGTCAGAGGTTGGGGTCTCTCCTGCTCTGCCTCTGCAGTCGCAACTCACCTTTGGTAATGGGACGATGCCTATCTAGGACTAGCGCTGTTTATAGTCACCCACCTACATATACTGTTCGTAGCCTCACATAATACAACCACACCGAACATCAACTTTTCCAGGTCAACGAAAGGTCGATATCCATCGATTTTTCATCAAAACAAGACTCAAATGCCTTCTTAAATCTGTTTTCCAGCGTCCTCTTCCGGCTGCAGGCGCTGTGGCAGGCGCGCTGGCCTCTTTTGTCTTTCATCTCCCTGGTGAGCTGAGATGTCTTCAAAATGGCCCGTGCGCTACTCAGATTTTCACGTTCGGTCGAAGGCCACAACCACCGCTAAGACAAGGAGACAGCCTTGACACTCCTTGTTCTTGCAAGATACAGGCATCTGCCAGGCCTAAATACAAAGGCTCTCCATGCGCAGAGCTACGGCACGACCCGACAGAGCACCGGCTCTCCACACCTACAACGACGAGAGCTGCCCGCAGCTCTCTAAAGACCAACGGTCAGAGTCCCCGACCTGACACAACACGCAAACAAGGCAGCCAGCATAGCCTTACATATAAATTGGAGACGGGAAGGACAACTTCTGGCATCGCCTTGCCTTCACACCCACCTCTCCTACACCTCGAAGGCCCTGTCCCTGCTTCATGCAGGGCCATGACACCTACACGACAGAGCACTGGCTCTTGACCGCAAATAAGGCAGCCAGCATGGCCTTACAGATTCGCAACTTTAAGAGATAAAGAAGAAGGACAGGCCTGGCTCTGCCTTCCTACTACACCTATCTCCTTCGACACAGGCATCGCCAAGCCTAGTACAAAGGCTCTCCTCGCGCAGAGCCACGGCTCCGATTCGACAGAGCACCGGCTCTCCACACCCACGTACCTTTTTCTTACTCTCTCTTACGGCACTTAGCTGCCTCAGAACACAAGGGATCCACCCTAATGCCCACTGGCCCCAGAACAAGAGCTCTGCTTCATTGCTCAACACATCCCTGGCCCCACGGCCCAGAACCTAGATAGAGTCTTTTCAACTGGCGGAAATTACCCTACCAGACTGCACACACTGCCAACACCCAAAGAATAGGAGCACCTGAGTACCATACAGGGCGCTACCCGTCTTTCATGCCCCCTGGGAGGCTTTTATAGGACGTTAAACAATACATACATACATACATACAATAACACCTCAGTTCAATCCTCAATTCCTTGCGCACTGCTTGCAATCACTGCCAGAAGTCAGCATTCGAGACCTGTATCAATGTATGACAGAGGTGTTTCCTGCATCATAGTATTCCAAGAACGCGGTTGACTACTACCCCACGCATCTTGTGTTTCCTAAGCAGTGCAAGCAGTTCCCACAGAAGCTCAGCGCTTCCAGCTGGGACCCAGGTGCAACAACGACATTATGGCCTAGGAGATTCCCCAGAATGTAGTTATTGTTGTCATCTAAGTTTCCATCCGGAAGTGGATCGTCATGGACGTGATTAAGCGTTGCTTTGGCTGCGGCGACTTCTATAGGTAGTGCGTAAGCCCACCCAACTGTGTAGTCGTCACGGGACGCCATCTCCGACCAGGGCATAGGTCAAGAAATGAGAGATTCTGAGAGTGTCGTTGCCAAGGCGTTGTGTTATCTAAATCGAAGCTGCCTGGACCGTCTGTCCATTTTGCAGAGTCCGCAACAATCAATCAGATCGGCATGATTGACTCCTACCTAGGTTAGTGATTACTTGATCAGGAAAGTGTTATACTTAGATAGGAATCAATCATGCCGATCTAATTGATTGTTGCGGACTCTGCCATTTTGTGGGTGAGGAAAGCAATCAATTAAACAAGGAACACAGCAACAAACATGTGAGGGGACGGATAAGCTCTTGATCAGTGTTGACGTGTAAGCGACTTATTTGGATCCAGTCATATCTCAATTTCTCGGTGCCCCTTAGGCCAGAAACGTAGACAACAGCCACTGCCAGGCGCACCACACGTATTGAGTCAGTTGCCGGTGGAAGGATTTGGAGAACGGCACGAGCACGGAAGAGTACCCGAGACGGTCACGTCGCGGTGCCAGGCGGCTGCTAAAGTACATGCGGATTTCTCACTTTTGTGGCGAGAACCAATTGTACAACCTAAGGTTTATCATCCTGGCTAGAACAGCCCCATGCGGTTGGTTCTCGCTTGTTTCGTCACACGCATAAGCACTGTTACAAGCAATAGAAAGATACGGTCAGTAGTAATTAAAGCAGCAAGGCTAGCGCCTAGCAAGAACAACTTAAGAAACATCGCAAGAGGGAAACATCTTTCTTCGTCTTAAATTCCGGTCTCCTCACGTTACATTCTCATTAAGCACGGCAGTAAATGGCATTCGCTCCCCATCGTCGAGTCCCGCTCCCGCAGCTGCCAGAAGCGCACACAGCTCAGGAAATGCAATTTATCAGCGACGCCGCATCCAAGGCCGGCAATACAGGACGCCCAGTCCTTCTCTCGTTCTATGAGATGCCAGAATGGTTCCAACGCGAATCCAACCAGTGGGTTCTCTATGGCTATCGGCCTGTCTCAGGCTCGGCCTACGCTTCGTTCTGTAGTTGGTTGTATATACACAACTGTAACGGTGTGAGGAGAGGAGGAAGACTGCGTTGCATTGTGTAGCTATGGAGGAACTGCAGCTATATAGGTGTGTGTGATGAGAAAGTGTGGTAGCGATAGCCGTACCCAACTCTCACCCAAGTCG